TTAAGAGATAAGATTATCCATTTGAATCTGCTAAAGGTCCTACCAAATCCAGATGAACATGGTCGAAACGAGCATCGGGAAATTTAAACGAGCCTAAGGGACATTTATTGTGTCTGATAACCTTAGATTTTTGGCAGCTTAAACAGGAGCGTGCCCACTCCCTCACGTCTTTATTCATACCAGGCCAGCAAAACCGTTCTGCTATAAGCTTGATGGTTGCACGAACACCTGGATGAGAAAGTTTGTGCAATGTATTGAAGACATTGCGTCGATAATGTTTCGGCACGATTGGGCGATCCCTACCTGTAGATTTGTCACACAGTAAGGTTTCCTTACCTGTTCCCATCTGTTTGATGCGTAGTTAAAGGGTTGTGAACGATAACTCGTGCTGAAGATCACTGTCTTCTTTTTGAAGCTGGGCGAGTTTAAGAAGGTCGATTCCTTGGAAACTGTTCAAGGAAGTTATGCGAGATAAGGCGTCTGCAACTACATTGTTTGCACCAGAAATATGTTGAATAACTGAAGTAAACTGCGAAATGTAGTCCAGTTGTCGAGACTCACGAGGAGAGTACTTGTCTGAAGGAGAGCTTAACGAGAAAGTGAGCGGTTTATGGTCCATGAAAAGAGTGAATTCACGGCCTTCGATGTAGTGTTGGAAATGCCGTACAGCACAATACATAGCTAGTAGTTCCCTACCGAATGTGCTGTACCTCGCTTCGGTGTCTAGCAACCTTCTAGAGAAAAATGACAAGGGTTGCCAGGAGTTGTTAACCAATTGTTGTAAGACTCCTCCGATTGCCGAGTTGGATGCGTCTACTGCGATACTAATGGGTGCTTCGGTGTCCTGATGTGCGAGCATTGTTGCTTTGGCAATCAGTTCCTTAACTGTGGAGAATGATTTTCGTGCGATGTCGTCCAAATTAAAGGATTTCGCATTTCCACGAAGTTGGTCGGTAAGAGGTTTCATAAGTAATGCGCATTTCGGTATGAAGCGTCTATAGAAACTTACCAGGCCGTTAAACGTGCGTAATTGCTTGACGGTGGTCGGTTCTGGGTAATCCAGAATGGCCGCCACTTTGGTTCTAAGGGGTCGAATGCCTTGAGCATCGATAGTGTGTCCTAGGAAGTCTAACGAGTCGGTTCCGAATTGGCATTTCTGAACGTTTACAGTTATGCTATGTTTTTGTAGTCGTTCGAAAACAAGATCCAGATGCTTGAGATGTGTTTCTCTGTCCGGACTTGCGATTAGACAGTCGTCAACATACGCATGTACGAAGTTGAGACCTCGGAAAACGTCGTCTATGAATCTTTGGAATGTTTGAGCAGCATTTCGTAGACCGAAAGGCATTCGCAAAAATTCATAGAGTCCGAAGGGAGTTATGATAGCTGTTTTCGGAATGTCGTCAGTAGCCATAGGTATTTGGTTATACGCTTTAACCAAGTCGATTTTCGAAAAGACAGTTGTACCTTTCAAGGTAGCTGTCAAATCGTGAATGTGAGGCAACGGGTAACGATCGGGAATGGTTTTCGCGTTCAATCGCCGATAGTCACCAGTTGGACGCCAATCGTTGCTGTCCTTTTTAGGGACCATGTGCAACGGAGATGCATAAGGGCTATTTGACGGTCGTATGATTCCTAAATCTATCATGTGATCGAATTCGTTTTTCGCTAACCTTAGCTTTTCAGGAGCTAGTCGTCGTGCTTTAGAGAATACAGGTGGTCCTGTAGTCGTGATGTGATGTGTAACATTGCTGGTTACACACGGTAGTTTCGGTTGAGTTTGTTGTATCCCCGGGTACTTATCGAGTAGTGGCTGATAAAGTGGGTCGATCATATGCTTAACTGTGACTGGGGATAATCTGCAACCAGAAAAGGAAGTTACGCAAACGGACAAATTAGTGTTTCCGTCTACTAGTCTCCGTTTGCGCGTGTCGATGATCAGATTGTGATGTTGTAGAAGGTCCATACCAATGATTGGCATAGAAACATCTGCAACAACGAAAATCCAGTGGATGGGTTTGCGTAAACCCACGTTAAGGTAAACGTACCTTTTGCCATACGTAGCGATCGGTTTTCCGTTTGCCGCCTGTAAGTTTAGAGCCGAATCTTGAGGCCGATCGTCGGGATTCGCTGGGAGAACGCTAACTTCTGCGCCAGTATCGACGGGGTAGCGAACTCTCGTTGTCACATCTGTGACGTATAACAGACGGCTATGTTCGCCGGCTACGGTTGCCGTCAACGCGTGCCGGCTTGGAAGTTTCCCGAATTGTTTTTCAGATCATTCGGTTTCATGTTGGGAAAATTGCAGGGTTTTTTGCAATTTCTGGAAAACTTTCCATACTGGTTATGATACCAGCACCAGTCGGGGTTATCTGTCTCTCGTCGTCTAGAGACAGATCGCTTACGTGAAATGCTTCTACTTGGTGTGCGCGATCTCTTACGGTCGGTACGAAGACTAAGATAACGCGTGAGTGTATGACATAAATCGGTTATATAATTCTGAGTCGTTTGAGGTTTTTCTTTGACTGAAAATACCTCGGTAGTAGGTTTCGTAATTTCTAAAATGCGATCGGCAGATGCAGCTTGCTCGTCTAAGGCGTTGTTCTGGAACGAGACCAGAACTGCTTGCACCTGTTGGGGAAGTTTTGACAAGAAGAGTTGTTTGAATAGACCTTCGTCGAAAGTTCTTGGGCCTATAACCTCTCTCATCCGTTGCAACATGTCCGTCGCAGAACCGTGTTGCAGGTCGATGTTATTGAAGAGTTGATCTAACCTTTGTCGATCGGTTAGGTCTCCTCGTTTAAGAATCGAGCGTTTAAAGGTTTCGTAAGGTTCAGAAACATCACTAGTAAACATACTAGGTGTTACGTACCTGTTGAATTCGCACGGTAGTGCCTTGACTACTGCAAGAAATTGTGCACGTGTGTCGATCACGCCGTGCTCGTAGAAGTCGGCTTCTGCGTAGCAAAACCAAGCTTCGATGTTGTCGGGCCAGAAAGGCATCAGTTGAAACGAAGCTGGGGACTAGGTCTTAAGCTTGAGTACTTTAGGTGTCTGTTCAGTCATGATGAAATATGAAGTACGATAATGAACGAGGGGAAAACATATATATATCCAAGAAAAAATACGAAAAAAAATCACAATGTTTAAAAAAAATAAAAAAATAAGGCAACGATATATAATAATCCCAAAAAGGAACAGACTCACAGTTGCAAATAGGTGTACCAGATCACGTCGGGCTCACCAATGAAGATGTCACAGGTATTCAGTGTTTGACAACGCTTTTACCAGTAACACCTTCTAATATATTTCGTTCCCACCCAGAGAAATCAAAAGACAGAGTCGAGGAGATCGGAAGAGTATATTTGGCAACGACCAATATATCGGAATTCTCTGATCTAATCTGGCTAGCGATCGCGGTTGATGTTGAGCACGGCGTTACCACACGTGATCTGGTGCGGATGCATGACCGAGCGCCTTCAGCTAGATGAGTCCACTAAAACATATGGTCAGCATCCAATGTCGAAAACTTAGAGCCATTTATTTTGGGGATTTATTTACCGCTACAGTATCATTAGTTCATTCAAACACCACAGGAAGTTGTGACTCACTCCAGATGTGACGGAACATAGAGTAAGGTGTGGCTTGGGAAATGTGTCGGCAGCCAATACATAACCACAAAGCCGCATAGTGATATTTCTATGACTAAAACAATGGTTTACAGCTGATTCTGATTAGGCTCGATTGCTACCAAATTTATTACTGGAGGAACATATATTGCCCTTTAACAAGTGAAAACTAACACGAAAAACAGACACTCTATTTGTCATAATTATTACCACGGTTAAAGTTATATCAGTTCTGTTAACCTGAACACTGTAACAGCTTTCAGACAGATGAAGCCAAAGTATATATAACCCCTTTATTCACATATATGCAAGCGTGTATGTCGAATCTAGAACTCCGTCTGACTGTATCTTGCACTTTCATCGTGCCACATCCAAAACCCACAACTTGTTCGCATTTCTGCCATGATTAGAAGGATTTAAACTGCTGTACGAACCATTATCTTCAGAAATAACGCAATTTAAACCAAAGAGGGTTAGACAAGCACAAAGGAATGCGCTGTATTTGGAATTCGAAGTCAGGTAGTCATTAGTTCATACAAACACCACAACTTTCTAAAAATAGGTGTAGGGTTCTCTGTGAACGAGTAAAGAGGCTTGCCACAAAATTATTAATGAGGTTAGGAGTCAAACTAAATGAAGTCACAACTCAACACCTAGGGTCGTTCTTGTTAAGCCATAGTCGACTATGAGGCGACCTGATAATGTCGTATAGCATACTAAGCACTCCTGATCACACTAATGGAAATATCCTACCCGAACCTCAACATTCACCTTCCTCAGGAAACACACAAAGAATAGTGATTCAAAGAGACGATGTCCAGGTGAGATCACACTTCTTTTTAATAGAGGCCTGACTAGACAGGGAAGTCCTCGCAGCGGGTGAGATCATAGTCCTCTCGGAGGACGATTTCAAGAGGAAGCTCGATAACGATCACTCACTGCGATCCTTATCTCCTATCCACATTCTGATTTTATGACCTGCGACACTACAACTAATCAGTCTTTTGTTTGATAATGTGATAACTGCTGGTCTTAGAAACACCGATGGCCTAGAATAAACTCACGCAAGAAATATTACCCTTCAACCTACCATCGAATTCATACGTGACGATAAAAAAACTTGAAACTATACTGTGGCTTTAGAAAGAGATGACAAAAATGCTGAGTGATTTATACGAGCTCTTTACAAATATATTGGATATTAGAAGATGCAGAAATAAACTAGTTGTTGTTGAAGCGGTGAATTTGGAGGGAGAGCATTTACTGGCTGTTTCATCCTAATATTCTCAATTCCCTAAAGTTTCAAAGTTGTTTCGAATAACAGTACGCCAATACTATGGGACAGATAGTAACATCACTTTGATTTAGCTGATGGCAAGTGTTTACTGGTTAACATTATATATATATATATATTGATACATATGTATCTTAGTACGATATCGTATTAATTTTAGTATTTATGTACGTGCTTTGAGCATCAACTGTCTATAGTATACGCTAAAAGTTCCAAGTTTTTATAGGCTCAGTCTACTTATTTCGTTTTTGGCTATGTATTGTAGTTTTCCAGCGTTCTAAATGTTATAACATTCAGCTTAATTTACCTATAGGTAAATTAAGCCGATAATATATATTATAAGCTTATATAAACTGATAATTCATTTATTTAATATGAAGTGTATTTTTCAATTATTTTGAGCTAATTATGAACTCATTCAGTGGTGACACCGCTTATTAATTAAACTGCACAGAGCTTTAAATAAACTAGTTTACGAAAGATCTCTGAATCTAAATGAAATTATCCATGTTATTTTGTAGTGAGAATTATAAGTTTCATAAGCTGATTTATCTAATAGAATCAATCTTTTGGTGCTGCATTAATTAAGCTTCATTAATACAGCTTTTGTAATAACATTATGCGAATTAGAAAAATTGCCGCTAACTAACGGCTAAGCTAATGTATGGTGGCCTTAAGAAAACCCCCCTACTTTCCAGGGTTAGAAGTCTGTTGAGTAGTATGAGCGATTGCGATAAGAAATGACAAAAGTTTTGGTTCGGAATTATGGTTAGGGCTTTCAACACACTGACATCTGTAATCTCCAAAATGCTGGTCAACCATATTGAAGCAGTTCATATCTAGCTAGGAGGTACTTTGTGTACCCGAGGAGCTTGCACAGAAGCGTGAGGGTTGTAAACGAGAAGAAAAAAAGGTTGGTTGATGAATGAACAAGTGCATACGATGCACTTACATTTAATAACAAATACGATCAACAACATTAAGAGATAACACGCGACTCAGATTAAGACAATCCTAAAACCTTGGTTAGAACCAGATAGTCTAATCCATTACAAGTATTAGTGAGTGACTTTCACTCCAAAATTCAAGGCTTCATATCCTTAAATCTATTGCATCGTCCGTATTCCCGCTGAAAGAAAACCAGAGTTTTAACATTCACCTCTCAGCATGTATTGTCTTGCTGTGGCTCTGTTTTGGGAATCTGATTCAAATCGTAGACCAATAATGAAGTCAAGTGAATCGCTTGGGCTAAGTTCAAACTCCCTATCCCATGATATAGCAAATAGGCCACTCTTTTGATTATGCTCTCATGCTTTGTGTAATTCACTTTTAGGAATTAAATAGTGATTCAGATCTAACGTTTTTCAATGATTCTGATGATGATTTTCTCAATGATGGTATATTCTCGGAGTTTACATCTAAACGCATTACAAAGTCCTCTGGTTTCCACAAGTCATCATCTGAAGAACTTTGCTTTCATAAATCCCCATTGAAAGGCACTCATTCAACGAAAAAAAGCATTCTTTATTCAAGTAAAGGAACATCCAGACATCGTAAACTCCCTGGTCCAGCAGGTTTACTTCCAAAGGTATGCCTAAACGAATTTTGTTACTTTAAGTTAAGCTTCATGAACATGGTAATCGTCAGCGTCCTATGATTGGGTCAAAATCACCCAAAAAGGTAACAGCGAAACATTTCTTCTGAAGACGTTCCAAATCTTTTTAGAAGAAAGATGATACTGTATCTAGTTTGAATGAAAGCTGTCTATCACCATCGTTATCTCAGAACCAATCATCTTCAAGTCAAAGTGAAGAAGCTGCTTTGTTAAACAGACTACAGTCAGAATGTGGTTCAACCATATGGTCGGTTGTCGAAAAATATTCCGTCAGAGAAATTTTAAAAATGGTGGAATTCGTTTACATCTAATTATTTGGTTTTTCAGATCACTTCTAATCAACTACCGAAAGGTAAAATCCCAATAATGTGCGGTTTTCTTGATGAAGTTGAACTAATGCCTACGGACGCAAAAGCATTGTTAAAAGACAACTCAGGTATAAAAAAATCTTTATTACACTGATAATAAAATTTTCTAGGAGTTTTGGCTTGTACAATCCACCGTTCAGTGATAAAGGAATATAAAAACGACTTGGGTTGTTGTTCCCTACTTCTGTTGAAACAGGTCAGATTTATTATTTTAAACTACTATTTTGTTTGTATAAGATTTCACGTATCACACTCGTTTCTTTTCTTAGAATCTAGTGTCATTTCACCGATAATAAGGAATTACATTCAAAAATTGAATTACTAAATGCTAATTAAGACCTGTATAAGGTATAATACACTTTAACTTACTATATTTTATCAGAATTCGCTTGTGTAGAATTTTCAATGCAAACAAGGGCAGTCTGGTTCAGAATTTTAGATATATATGCCAAATTCATGTTTTCAGAATGTGACCACCTCACTTGTCACTAAAGTGAGTAGTATTTTCGAGATTTTGCACTCAACAGCTGTCATTTACTAAGTTTACGTGTCGTTTATTAGCCAAGAACTAAGTTTGACAGTCACGTTTTTATTTCATCTGGGATTAAGTGACCTACCTAATTTTTATCCTACAGCTACCCATTCTATAAGTAACTGCTGATTATACTTTTTGTTCTAATATTTTCTGTTTGTATCATTTTACCAACATAAAATTCTTTACTGATCCGTTGTTTTGACTTCTGATACTCGCTTGCTCCTATTTGTTGTGTTCAATGGCCGGTCAAAAATATCACATAATGAAGTCAACAAACGGGTTACCGACTTGTATGACCTTATCCCTATGCTAAAACAATGGTGCGTTAACCAGCACGAGCAGCCTAGAGTCATCTCCGAGTCCTCTGTATAGTAAATTCTCGCCTATCCCAACCTGTTCAGTCCGGAACACAAATCTCAACCTTTGCTATGTGAATCGTCTATTTCAGACCTATGTAATTTATATACAAACCGACCAGACCACATCACATCACAGAATGAAAAATAATAATTAAACAAGATCAAGCCAAACGTTCGCTGTGAATATAGGAGACTGTAGTTAATAGATTGGGAATAAATTAAGAATGGCAAATCGTATGACAGTGGCCAATAACTCAAATCAAAGCTTATGATAAAAGGAATATGAATATATATGTAATCTAGTTACTTAATAATTTCCCAATAAGAATATATGTAATAAAAGTCTATTTCTAGTAGTTATTATTCATTTATTCTTGACTCGAATATAAGATTTAACTGTATCACTGTGATGTATGCTTGGATGCCTTAAACAAACCTATAAATTCATCGTCTAGATTGTTTGTATCAGATAGCTCGTATGAAAAATCCTTGGTTCTTTTTAGACATATTCAGTTTCTACTCATCTATTGTAGAAGTTTCTTTAGTCAGTGAATGAATATAGATTGGAATATCAGACAAATCGTATTATTCAAACCGAATTCCACGTAAGTCTTTTCTCTCCAAAAGTTTAAACCAATGGATTAGACTTGTCTAAAGTCATTAACTCTGATTTTTATACTCCAACTAATGGTTCTAAACTATTTTAGAGGTCTCAAAACGTATGCCTTGAAGACTTTACTTTTGCTTCAATCCTCTCACTATCACGACATTTAAAAGTTAATATCACAGTTCCATCTCGTAGAAGTGATAGAGGTAGTGGCTCAACTTGAATAAATAAATTTCGTAATTGCTGGATAGGAAATCCATGTTGGACAAAAATCTGGTTGTTTATTGGAAACTTCATAACGTCGATAAAGCGTTTTAAGATGAAGATCTATCTGTAAATCATATGGATTTTTTTCGTTACCTAGAAAATATCTTTACAGTTGTGATGTCATCTGCAACGTTATGGTAGCTAGGTTTTCCTTCCTTGGATTTATAAGTCTTTTTTTAACTATCATATAGTAGTTTTAGACGTGGCGAATAGTACAGTAGAAATTAAGCAAAATGTATTCGGCATATTAGTTTATTTATTACCACAATTTTTATGCCTTATGAAATTCTAGGTTACTATTTTCAGTCCAACTGGCAAAAAGTTTTATGCCAATATAACTCTTCCAAATATTGTAAAAATATATACCCCCGAAAATACCATTATTACTTCAGCATCTGGTCACCATACAACAACACCTCTTTCTTCTCCATTATCTCTTCGAGAAGTGGAAGCTTTAGAGGAAGATTGTTTAAGAGCTCTTTCACCACCTTCAACTCCAATACCACAAACAATTTCGATATCTCCCATCTTAAAACCTACGTGAGTTTTGTATGACGTCGGTCATTTAAAATCTTTTATGAATTTTGATTTCTATACATGTGTTACCAATGGATAAAATATTTACACATCTGATTGCGAAATTGATACTGAACATGATTTCATCTGCTTCGAAATGTTCTGAAGTCTTGAGTTTATAAATATAGGAATTCCATTCATTATACCCTGTTGTTCTGAACAAACATCATTTTATCTTGATTTGTCTCAATTTAACTCATTTTTTCCTTATGTAATATTTATCCTTCATTCTAATACTGAAAAGACTTATAAAAGAGATTATTTCATGTCCGCTTTTATTGAGCTGAGCCAAAAGTTACTATTTATTTATATGGAGTTCGGCATTTCTGTACAGTGCATAACGATATGGCCATCAAATTAACCAGATTTAACAAATTTATTGAGAGCAAAGATGGATAGTGGCTAGTAGTGGAATCTAGAACGAATTACTACTTATAATTTTACTACCTCTACCACTATGAGATTTGAATCGACAGTTGTATTTGTGTGCTAATGTGGTATGTTAACTTGAACTGTACGAAGTTCTACGTTGTTACTGACTGACTGACGGTTATTTAATGAAAATCAGCTTCAACTTAGTATCTAATATCAAGATTCAAACCATTATGATAACCTGTAATTAAAGGAATGTATGTAGGCTGTTGGTTCTTTCAATGTCTTGAATTCCTTGTGTATTCTCTATTTGAAATCATTTCGTATTTCTTATGCATTTTTCCCCGTTGCTAATAGCTCTTATCGGATACAACCACAAATCAAACAATCTTCATCTGGTTTAAAATCAGAATTATCAACTACAAAAAGTTTTACGTTACAATTACGTCCGAGTAGTTTAGGTTCTTTATTAAAGTCTAATTCAATCCCAGTCAATAATAAAGTCAAATCATCAATTTGTGATAATAATAATAATCATAAAAACTTACAGAAAAAAGATTATCAACAAAATATAAACTCAACAACTAATGTTACTTCTACGACTACTACTATTACTACCACCCTACCTGATTCATTCACAATGAAAGATGATCTTTTAGAAGATGGTAATTTCCTCTTTGCTTTATTGTTGTCATCATCATTATTATTATTGTTTAAAACTTTTTAAAATTCCAATTTTGTAAACCTCGTAACTACTTAGTGTATATTGATATGAATTTTCTAGCCAATTGAAAGTTAACAGAATATTTCCAAATGACTTCATAGTGTAGTTCACTTTGCCGTATTACTGTTTGATATCAGTTCATAGAATCATTTTGTATTGATATGAGCCATGTTGATAGGTACAGACTGGTTGGTTATAGTTCAATCAGTGGTTGAAGATACTAAGTAACATAGCTTAGAAACAGTCATAATGGTGTAGCTTCATTTTTTCTGTCTGCTTGTGAATTTTCCCAAGTAAGGACCGGAGTCAGACAAGGCTGTCCGTTCTTTCCCTTCCTCTTTCTTCTGGTGGTCGACTGGATTATGAAGACCTCGACATCTGAAGGAAAACAGGGCATACAATGGACAGCTCAGAACCAAATAGACGATTTGAACATTGCAGATGACCTAGCCCTCCTACCGCATACACATGAACAAATGCAGATAAAAACAGCCAGTGTAGCAGCAGTCTCTGCATCAGTAGGCCTCAACATACACAAGGGGAAAACCAAGATGCTCAAATTCAAAACGAAGAACAGCAATCCAATCACTCTTGATAGCGAAACTCTGGAAGATGTAGAATCCTTCACATACCTGGGACGCATCATCGATGAACAAGGAGGATCAGATGCAGACGCAAAGGCGAGGACTGGCAAAGCAAAAAGTGAAAATTTTCATTATGTCTTTTCGAATCATATTCTCAATACTTATTCTTTCGCATTGTCATTGTTAGTAAATTATTTTCACTCTTTTACTATTTATCTTGTTAGCATCATTTAATTGCTCAAATGTTTTATGACAAATGTGGTCAACTCTTGTTTGTGACAGGCTATATGTTGATTATGATTGAATATCTTTTCTAATTTCATTGGTTGAGATCATGTGTCAATTGAAACTAGACCACCATGGAAAACCTAGAAGCACTGGACTGCCGTTTCATCCTATTGTGGGACTGCTCAGTAGTGTACATCCACGATCCCCGCTTCATGAGATTCGAACCCAGGATCTATTGGTCTCGCCCACGAACGCTTTATCTCTAGACCACTTTAACTACTAAACCTTTTTTCTAAGCTTACATTTCATAATATCGTAAAGATCTTACATATTTAAACGTTTATTTTTGACGTAGCTGTATCCACAATTGTTGCTCATTGAAATGTCCTAATTCGCAATACAAATTGTTATTCGTTCGACAATAAGTGTTACAAAATGTTTTGTAAATTGCCTTGAATATGGCACAATATTTATGTCCCTATTGAAAGAAAGTAGATTAACTAAATAAATAAGGTTTATTTTTGTAGAATGAATAGATTTTTGTTCAGATCCGTCTAGAGCCTCTCTGGGGTTACTGCCAGTCCCAAGCCTGGTTAAAAGAGAACGGTTGGGCATGGTGTTAACGATGCCATCCCATAGGAAACTAACCTTCTAAAAAACGGCGACCAGGAAAAATAATTCGATTTCAAGTGTATTATTTGTTATTTCATTTATTTATAAAGATAGTTTTCAACACAAATTGGAATCAGATAAGGAGAAACATTTGGAAACCACAGCGTATTGAACAGTTATATTTTATTTATTTATTTGAACACATAAACGTTGATACAAGGAGGCACCAAATACATATGCGCCACATAGTAACAATGAGGCCAGTAGCAGTACCATTGAGATGTGAGGGGCTGTGTTACTGTCCAAGTGCCCAGACGGAAGCAGATGATTTTCTTAAAGGGCCTCACCCGGTGCCTTCGACCTAAAGGTCTGGTCCACAACGCAATGGAACATATTTAGAAGGTGCAGTCTCATAGTAGAGGATGACCAATAATTGGTTCATATGCCTTCTGTTCCTTCAAGATACTTGAGCTCATGTGCACCATTGATTTAGAACCAGGGTTTTTTTAATTCCTCTAGGTGAATCCTCCATATCCCCGAATGCCCCGGTACGACCAAGAGTGAGGAGAGTCCGCTCTCCCTCTCGAAATGCTCTCACATGGCCACGCGTATATAGTCTCTGCCAGGGAAGTCCTACTCACTGCTTTCTCGACAAGGGTATGTTGTCTACGAAGTTGAAAAGACGAAAAGTGAATGTCCGGCGCTTTAACTGGGTTGGCGGACATGACGAGTCCGCTTATTTATTTATTTATTTATTTGAACACATGAATATTGGTACAAGAGAGCGCCAATATATATGCGCCACACAAAACAATGAAAATTCGAAGAGAAGTACAAAAAAAACTAAGGAGCGCAAAAGAAAAAGAGAACAATAACGAAGAGATTGGTGTAAGGTAGTGTGGTAGTAACGAGGGAACGAAAAGGTACAATCAGAAGAAATCTTTCAGGTAAGGGAGACAGAACCACTTTTTATGAAGAAAGTAAAAGAAGGTTACAGCAGGATCGCCACTGGCTTCTATTCTGAGCCATATCTGATAACGTCTCTAGCCACTGTGTAGCACCATCTCTCAGACCCCAACCAGGCAGTCGTGAAGGACCGACAGAAGCCAGCCCTTTGCAGCTTTCTTTCATACCACGACACCGTGTCATGCACTGACCACCTCTCCGCTTCTTCCAACCAGTCCCAGAGTCAGTAAATAATGCACGACGTGGAATTCTCTGCGACGACATTCGGAGATCATGTCCAAGCCACCGAAGTCGGTGGCTTAGGGAGTTGGAAAACCCTGATTTTAAACCAATGGTGCACATGGGCTCCAGTATCTTGAAGGAACAGAAGGCATATGAACCAATCGTTGATCACCGGCTACCATGGGACTGCATCTCCTTACGATGCTTCACTGCCTTCTGGGTCAGACCTTCAGGTCGAAGGCTCTGGATGTGACCCTCTAAGAAAACCACCTGCTTCGGTCTGGGCACTCGGTCAGTATCACAGTACTCACATATATCCAAGTAGATTTGTGTGCCGCATATGTATTTAGTGCCTCCTTTTACCCATATCTATGTGTTAAAATAATTATAATCCATCAATCCGATTAAAGCGCTAGACATTCGCTTCTTACTCTCTCATTTTTGCAAACCACAATAATGCCATGAGAAGACAGTAACTATATAGAATTAGGTAAACTGTTAAAAGCATCGTCTAAACTATTCAACACATTCTTTCATTGTCATTAATACCTTCTAGTTGTTCATGTTAATTCATGATCAAACTTGCATAGATCATCTATTCTTTTTTTTTACTTTCTTAATTATATTTTATTTTTAGACATGGATGATTTATTATCTAGTATAGCTGATGAAATTCCTTAGTCGTTGAATATATATATATATAACATTTAAAGAAACAAATCAAATGGTGATATAATCTATGAAACAGATATAAATGATCTACTCTTTAGTGTAATCTACATCACGATTGGTTCTTCTTCTTCTTCTTCTTCTTCTCCTTGTTGTTGTTCTTCTTGATTATTGGTTATTACTTGACTTATTTGATGAGATTATAATTTATGTGAACAACTTTAAATGAATCTTAATAGTGTAGCCTTTCATACTCTGACTAATAAATAAAGATTATAATACAGTTTGATGAATTATAATTCATATTTTATAATGGATAATTCAAGATTAACAATTTACCTATAGAGTTTTCATTATGAATTGATTTCAATTATCATGTCCAGAAAGGATAAATAAATTTCGAAGCCAAAATCTACTAATGTCAATTTGATTGATTCACCAACTATTTATGTAATTTGTCATCAATAAATTCACTTTGTTGTTGTTGATGTTATTGCTGTTGTTGCTGGTGATGCTGCTGCTGTTGTTGTTGTTGTTGTTGCATATACACTCCAATGGATTGTTGATTATTGTACATAAAATGAAATTATTCATCTTTCTCTCTTCATGTATATTTGCATATTATTGATAGTTTAAAATGAAGAATTTTTCTAATGAATAAATAGAAATTTATATTTTGAGATGATGGAGAAGATTTAATAGCTCAAGTGGATGATTTTGATAGAGTTTTGTTCTCTGAGCTGAATAGTTTGGTCATGGAGTTTTCATCGTTCTTCTGAACGACATCATCAGCACAAACTTCTGATACAAGTATTTTGTTTGGTTTTAACCGCCCCTTAACTTTCTTCTTCTCCCAACCATCAACATTTGAACGAATGATAGGGAATGAAGTAGTGGAGCGTGTCTATTGCTTCACTAATCTTGAGAATCTCATCAGCCCTTATGGTCTAGTGTGTGACGAAATCGCAGCAAGGATACAGAAGGCTCGACTAACTTCTGCCAAAACTTGCGTCATTTATGGCGTAGGCGAGATATCCGTCTATCAACCAAAGGACGTATTTACTGCTCAGCAGTTCGTTCCGTCCTAATTTATGACAGTGAAACATGACCGGTAAGAATAGAGGATATTCGTTGGTTACTAGTATTTGATCACAGGTGTCTTCTGAGCATTGCTCGTATATCCTGGTATCACAGAGTAAGTAATGCAGTTGTTAGGAATCGGGTACTAGGTAAGGATGGCAAATTAACTGATGAAGTACTGGAACTTCATCAGTTGTGATGACTTGGACATGTGTTACGTATGCCCAACGACCGACTGCCTCGACAATTGATGTTTTGTGGTGTAGGAGTATGTTGTAGGAAAGCTAGGGGCGGCTAGAACAAAACATGGCACAAATCGATGAAGTCCCTGACAGGTGAACTGAGCCATGTTGGTAGTAGACTATCTGGTTGGGATCCGTGAGACGATAGTAACCGATGGTTGGAAACCTTGAATGACACATGGCTCAAAATCGTTTGCAATGGCGCAGGTGTATCGACTCTCAATTCTTCATCTTCCTTATGGTATGGTATGACAACTCGAACTGATGTACGTACGTACAAAGTTCCACGTTGTTTATTTATTTGAACAAAAATATTGATACAAGGAAGCACCAAATATATATGTGCCACACAAAACAATGAGAACGGGAAGAGAAAAAAAGGAAGGTAGTGAGCGTAAAAGAAAAACAATAACGACCACAGATTAGTGTAAGGTAGTGTAATAATAATAGTAATAATGGGGGAAACGGAAACGTACAGCCAGAAGGATTCTTTCAGTTAAGGAAGAAGCAACCATTTTTTTATGAAGATAGTAAGAGAAGGTTAGAGCAGGATCGCCACTGGCTTCTATTCTGAGCCATATCTGATAACGTCTCCAGCCACTGTGTTGCACCATCTCTCGGACCCCAGCCAGGGAGTCGTGAAGGACCGACAGAAGCCAGCCCTTATTATTATTGTCTTTTATCCCCACTTCATGTATCCTTATTTTTCGACTTATTATACAGCAGCTCGCCTATGGTGGAAACTCAGTTGTTATTGACTGACCATCCCCAACATTAGTCAGCATTGCCAGTCAGCTACAACGTAGAAGTGGGCACATATAAGCATCGGTCCAAGTTGTCGCAAGATGAACACCAAATTCATATAAATGGTTACTTCAATGTTAGTAATGTATAAAAGAAAGATTATGTGTAAGGATGTACTACATGAAAGAAGAATTAGTTTGGAGTCTTTTTTGTATTACATTTTGGTACAATATAGAATTCCTAGCACGAGGTACTTCAACGAATTTCTTTTACAATAAAAGGAATCGGTTATAGAAAAATCTGAATCTGTACAGCTTTTCAATTAGAGATATATTTCAGTATACAGGTTACGGATTAAGTCAACTATAACAAACCGTTCGTCACAAAGTATATTTGCTAGATAAGGTATTGTAGAGCTTATATACCTTTGCTTGAGTGTATGAATTTTATTGTATTAATATCTCGTTGTACCAGAAGATATACAAGGAGAAAGATATGTATGAAGGGGATGGTTAGTATCTGATAAGATAACACCTAACAGGAGTTTGCAAGACTTTAAATGTCTATTCACAATCACATTATTAATGACCCCAAAAGATTCACTACACACCTTGCTAACTGCCTTCAGCACTCTACGCAATACAGCAAAGTCTTATCTCAAAAGCCCGTAAAAGAATAATACGTAATATGCAAGAATTGACAAATTGTAAGAGTAAATGTCGAGTAATCTCAAAAGCACGCAGTCTCTTTGTGCAGTAAGTCAGACGGAAAATCCTCTTTGATAACAGTAAAGCATGCAAAGACCAAGAGAGATCAGAGGAAAAGGTGACGCCAAGAAAATTGACCTTCAACACTGTTTATCAAACAGTCTCCAATGGCGCAAGTATTATGGGATCCCAACAGGGTATTTAGGCGCTTTTCATGTCTCAAGCTAAAGATAACAGCTTGACATTTAGATGAATTAAGTATGAAACCATTAACAACAGACCACCATTGAATACGAGACAACAACTCAGTCATTTCTATGGAATGTAGTAAGGTAGAAATCGGTATACATAGAGTAAGATTGTCTATATATTTCACAAAGTTATTTTCTGTGGAGGTTGGTAGAAAAGAACAGGTACATTTTATTATAGGGTCTTGTGAAGATTGCTGAATTTTGTTTCACTTCACGGACTAACTAATGAAAACCACAAAAGCTAAATGACTGAAATTACAAATGTAAACGATTGAATTTCTAAATCAGTATTCTGGTTGCTCATGAACTGTTTGAAAACATATTACGTAATATATGGATTGTAAGAGCTGACATTGAGACGTGTTTCAGCACATTAAGGGGAATAGTTTTAACCTGCATCTTGTAGATTGACTTTCAGCTTTCTAAATGGCTTGGAATCAAATTGTTGTTTGTCCTAACTACACCTCTTTTGTAAGGGCAACGAACTGAGACCCCAGTAAAATGACCAGTGTAACTAGGTTAAAAAGGGCTTTCAAAGACGAACTTTTTCTTGACGGTTTATCACTTAAAAGAAGGTTATATTTGCGTAAGTAGAAACTTACATCACCATAACAATAAGTCAAATGAAATCTCATCTCCCAACAAGTTAAATGGGATAATATTTTTGAACCATACAATTGTCTACATATTCATTCTGTTTGCTTAACTTACTTGTATTGTAAATTTTTAAACTATTCTGATTGATCAATCGGTTGAATGATAAGTGAACGGAAGGTATTGAGATGGTGGAGAAGATTTGTAGCTCAAGTGGATGATTTTGATGGAGTTTTGTTCTTTGAGCTGGATGGTTTGGCCGTGGAGCTTTCATCGTTCTTCTGAACGACATCAACCACACTCAGCATCCGAACCTAAGTCAAGCACAGAAATCAACAAAAGTATCGCCCTACCATACATAAAAGACATATCAGAAACCGCAACGAGACTGCTGAAAACCTTCGGGATAGGTGTGGCACACAAACCGACAAAATCACTGCAATCAATCCTATGCAAACTAAAGGATGAAATAACAAAGGAAGATAAACCAAACACCATCTACAAAATGAATTGTGCCAACTGCGAAAAACACTACATCGGACAAAGCGGACGCCCCCTTCACGTTCGCCTACATGAACATCAATTAGCAGTCAAACGCCATGATACTTCCTCACTTATATCAATACATGTGGACAACTGCGGACACTCATTCGACTGGAAAAATGTGGAAATCTTGGAGAGAGGAAATTTCAAAAACACTAGGGAATTTTTGTAAACCTGGCACAGGTCAATCAACAAGCACACTGAGATCGATCCAATTTATCAATTAATCAGGAAAATTATGGATAAACATAGGACCGAAATTCAAACCAATGGAAGACACAACCAAAACAAAGGAGTAAACAATGACAAATTTAGGGTCAATAAGAATCAATCAACGTCGAGGTGTACAGAACAATCTGTGAAACGCATATGGAGAAATTTGAACACTTCACTTCTATCTGAAGTTTGTGTTGATGATGTTCAGAGGAACGATGAATGCTCCACGACCAAACCATCCAGCTCAGAGAACGAAACTCCATCAAGAACGGAAGGTATTCCTAATAAAGGTCTGGAACCTGACTTCTCCACCTCATATTGACATGTATTAATCATACTTTAATTTCTCCGGTAACATATATTACCGGTGAACATCTTTACACTTCCTGCTATCACCTTTATTTCATATCTTCCAATGTGAAAATTATATACTTGTTGTTATATCTACTTGTTGTTTCATCAGTAGTTGTAATACTTTCTAATAATTATTGGATATCGTTTCAAATACTGATCAGCTGAATGTAGTTTTGATTATCCATTATGCAAATCACCTGCTTGGTTAATTGAAAGTATCTATAAGTTACTAGCTATTAGGAATTTGTATTCTGAATTGTTTGAAGTATTCTGTTATGGGTATGTCAGTCTTTACAGTTTTTTGTAATAATCTACGCCGTCTCAACGATTATAGATACGAACCCAGGATCTGTCGGTCTCGAGCGCGAACGATAAATCTCGAGACCACTGAGCTGGCCGGCATCAAATAGTGTTAATGTCTAACTTCAACTAATCCACGAAATTGAGTGACTCAACCACCATTGTCATCAGTGAGTTACTACCTATAACAACAGACTGGGTTGAACTTCACTGATTACAGCTTCTCACTAGAACTCCAGGAAATACCTCTTGAATCGTGGATGTGCACTGCTGAGGAGTCCCACAATAGGATGAAACGGTCGTCCAGTGCTTTCAGGTTTTCCATGGTGGTCCAGCTTCAATTGACTCATGATCTCAACTATGGAAATTACTATAATATACGCAAAAACCCCTTCTGATACTAATTTAATGATTTGCATTATTTTTCATTATCCTATTTAATGAAATGATTCGTTTAAGATTAGTTTGCTTAGTTTTACCTGGTTACTAGAATTTGGTATCGTTGATTATGACAAACTCATACTTGTTGAGTATGTGATTAGCTAACTTTAAAGTTCTTGTGAGAACAGTCCACAGATTAACTCGAGGAATCTCTTAGAAGCTCCGAAAGAAGTGAAGATATTCAGTCCAGTCAATTTTTGGGAGAATATTCCAGAATCTTCCTTATGAGACAAATGCTAAAACCCCTATATATGCGAACTGGATGACTATAATGATGATTTCGTCTTTACTAAATACTTTAAATACCTGACAGTTTTGTACCATATCTGACACTGTTTGAAATCGTACTCCTTTTCACTTGTCTTATCATTTGCTACTTGAAGGGTTCTAGAATTGGAATGCTCAAGTTATACGCGATATATTACCAATCTAAGCTCTAGATATGATAGTTCTTAAATTCGATGCTTTTCTTTTCTTATGACGTTTGATTTAGGAGAAATTGTATGACAATTTAAGAAAAGTTGATACATTCAAATCCTTCATACTTACAATTGATAATGACACTGACATGACAAGCTGTGAAACATATATGAAGAAACTCGAACACTTCACTTCTACTTGAAATTTGTACTGATGATATTGTTCAGAATAACGATGAGATCATGAGGCAATTGAAGCTAGACCACCATTGAAAACCTGGAAGTATTGGATGGCCGTTTCGTCCTATTGTGGAACTCCTCAGAATAGCGCATCCATGATCCTGCCTCGCGAGATTCAAACTCAGGATCTACCTTATAATCAACAAATATCACGTTGTATTAAATTAGGATTATTTGTTTTATCCCATTCTGAAATTTTCATCTCATTCTCCAATATGATGATTCAATGCTTTAAACAATCGACCTACAATTTTCACAATTGATTGATCACTGGGTGATGATCAATGTCATGCGTGTCAAGTTCTTATTTAGTGCACATCGAATGCTATCGACCATGTTGCAATGCGGCCACCAGTCTAGGTGACCCGACACATCTCAGTCCTACAGGAGGTCAGTCGCGGCCCAGATAACTCAGTGGTAACGTCTCTGACTGTGAAGGTGGGTGAAACGGGATTGAATCCGCCAGAGAGCACCAGTTCCCTCAAGATTACAGGTACACCTTGCTGACGAGTGCCAAGTAGCACGAAACGCGGGTCTAAGGTTTCCTGTCGACTACCTCTAACCACCATCTAATCACAATTCATCTTTGTATATAACACTTGTGACTTAAGGCAATATCGATGCAATATGCACAGTATACATATATGTCAATAAGAGATTGATCAATTGCAGTCTTAATCATCAATAGAAAGATTCAAGTAAAACAAAACCAAATGAATTTAACACTTTTTGTTTTAGTAAACTTTCTAATTGATTGATCAGTTGTATACACCTATAAAATTCACCTTTTTTAAAAATGCATATAAGTCACGTGTATCTACGGTTATATGATAGATTATATAGATAATAAAAAGTCTACACATACAAACTGAGTTTTGTCAGGATAATTAGATGACTAGTTTACAATAAAACTTGTAATTGAACATACATTTTATGAAGCATTTACAACAATGCAGAACTTAGTTCTAATTCTTTTAGATTAGTGAATTAGTTAATGTTACTTAACACATTATTTAAGTTTTTGGTTGAGATCATGAACCGATTGATATCAGACCACCTTTGGAAACCTGGAGGCAATGGACGGCCGTTTCGTCCTATTGTGGAACTCTTCAGCAGTGCGCATTCACGATCTCGCTCGCAGGATTCAAACCCAGGACCTTTGGTCTCGCGCGCGAACGCTTAACCTACTGGACCACTGAGTCGGTATCCAATGGTGATAGTGTCTAACATCAACCAATCCACGAAATTGCGCGACCAACTTCCATTGTACTGAGGTAGATACCTGTCTCTAGCCGACATGGATTAGCTCCACTGGTCACGGCTTCTCACTAGAACTCCGAGAATTCCCTCACGAAGCTAGTCACTAGTGAGCACATGTTGATTACTAGTATAGTGGTTGCGGAGATTATTAATTTTTTGGTTGAGATCATGAACTCCTCGTATTGAGGAGCATAATTCGCTTACCAGCATTCTCCATCTAACCCTGTCCTAAGCAATCCTTTCCAATTGCTATTCATCTTTTTCATATCTTTCAATTCCCTACGTAGTGTGTTCTTTGGCTTTCATCTTTTTGCTGTTCCCCTTCAAAATTCCAAGTTACAGTTTACCTCCTGATGCAGTTTTGTGATTTTCATAATGTATATCCTATACACTTCCAGCGGTTTTTCCTAATTTCCTTTTCAGATGGAAGCTGGTTTGTCCTTTCCTACAGTAGATTATTGCTGATGGTATCTGGCCAACGGACATTAGGTATTTTGCGTAGACAACTGTTTATACCTACATAGAACATATCGTATAACAATTGGAAAACAGATGTAAGTTGATGATTGATGAGTCGACAACAAATATGCATGTTGCTCTCCACCCCGCAGGATATCTCATTCGAGCCACGGAGCATAAGAAGATAAGGGCTGATTTACCATATCGCATTGAAGCAATCCATAATGCAATTCGCAATCATTTCTTATCATTAAGAAAAGTGTTTAGTATAGTGTGAAAAACTGGTTTAGAGTATTTGAACATTATATTCCGGTCTATATCAGTTTTTAATATCCACGTCAACGTAACATATAGTTCAAGCTTTTTTAATATTTATAAGTATAGGGTTTCATTGAGATCATGATCCAATCAATATTGAACCACTATTAAAAAGTTGGAAGCACTGAATGGTCATTTTGTCCCATCATCGGACTCTTCGGCAGTGAACATACACGAACCCACATGCAAAACTTGAGCCCAGTAACTTCGGTCTTGAGAAAACACTTGACCATCAAACCACTGAGTCAAAGATAATGGTACAAAGAGGCACCAAATACATGTGCGCCACACAAATCTCATTCGATATGTGTGAGGGCTGTGATACTGCACAGGTGCCCAAACCGAAGCAGGTGGTTTTCTTAGGGGGCCACACTCCGAGCCTTTGACCTAATGGTCTGATCCACAAGGCAGTGGAGCATCGTAAGGAGATGCAATCCCATGGAAGCCGGTGACCAACAATTGGTTCATGCGCCATTTGTTCCCATAGGATACTGGAGCCCATGTGCACCATTGGTTTGGAATCCGGTTAAAGTGCCGGACATTCGCTTTTTGTCCTCTCATTTTCGTAAACAACACCCCCGCCACGAGAAGGCAGTGAGTAGGACTTCCCTGGCAGAGGCTATATACGCGTGGCCGTGTGAGAGCATTTTGAGAGGGAGAGCGAACTCTCCCCACTCTCGGCCATACCATGGCATTTGGGGGCAACCACTGAGTCGGTATACAACGGTTTTATTATATTGTTGATGATTACCAAGTAAGTTGTTATTAGTATAGATTGTGATAAGATGGAGTTTCGTTCAAGATTACTTCCATTCTGATTCAATGTAATGATTACTCAATGTAGTATTTGTTTTGTTTTCTCGTATGATATATTATTCTGTATAATATACGATATTCTTGTATTCAATAGAGATGAACTATGCTCTATATGTGGTTTGTTATAACTCGGAGTATTTTTCATATATGTGATTACATTCTGATTATTAATCAAAATGGGTGTACGAATCAATATATAAATGAGTGTGTTTACGACTAGGGTCGACGTCGTCGTTGTTGCGTTTTAGGGGTTAATAAATATTCACTTATACCAGTCTTTATGTTCTTACTTTTGCATTATGGGAATTGCAGAGGTCCCTCGTTTTGAGTCTAAGTGATAAGAGTTTCCGATACAACAATCAGCAACGACTAGATATAACAAATGCCACCAAATGCCCTGATATGGCCGAGAGTGGGGTGGGCCCTCCCTCCCTCTCGAAATGCTCTCACACGACCACGTGAATACAGCCTCTGCCAAGGAAGTCCTACTCATTGCCTTCTCGTGGCGGGGATGTTGTTCACGAAATTGAGAGGACGAAAAGCGCACGTCCGGCACTTTAACCGGATTCTAAACCAATGGTCACATGGGCTCCAGTATCCTATGGGAACAAATGGCGTATGAACCAATCGTTGGTCACCGGTTACTATGGGACTGCATCTCCTCACGATGCTCCACTGCCTTGTGGGTCGGACCTTAAAGTCAAAGGCTCTGGGTGTGGCCCCCTAAGGAAACCACCTGCTTCAGTCTGGACACCCGTGCTGTATCCCAGCCCTCACACAAATCGAATGATTTATGTAACGCATATGTATTTGGTGCCTCCTTGTACCAACGTTTATGTGTTTAAATAAATAAAGATAATAACAAGTAGCATTCAAACAACAAGTTATAACAATTGGTGACGAGGATTTCGGAAATCATTGGCAAGTTATAACAGATTGTTGTTATACTTACAAATAACTGGGGGAAATCACTTCCTGGGATTTTTCCGATGGTTAGAGACCCCGAATGACATGGCTCAAAATCGTTTGCAATGGCGCAGGTGTATACACTCTTTGTGCTCTCCCAAATTTTAATCTCCTGATTCCTCCTTGTCTCTTTTTTCTCTTCCCAAATTTATTTCACTGGATTATACTCTTTAAATAGCATCTCCAAACCCTAATCTTTCCGATTACTGCCTATACTCTTACTACCTCTACCACTACGGGATTTGAATCGGCAACTGCATCTCTGTGCTAATGTGGTATGGCAACTCGAACTGATGTACGTACGTACGAAGTTCTACGTTGTTACTGACTGAAAGAATATGAAACTCATATTTTAAAGGAAGATAGACAGTGTACACACTTACGCCATTCTGATCGATTCTGAGCCATGTCACCCAAAGTCTCCAACCATTGATTACGATACTCGCGCGGACCCAACCAAGTACTCTACATCTATCAACATGGCTCAGACTAGAAGCAAGCGACTTCAAGCACTGATACCGCGTTTTGGTATGGCCGCCCCTAACTTTTCTCCAACTATCCCCAACACTAGTCAGCATTGTGCGTCGTGGTAATCGGTGTTCAGGCATACGTAAAACGTGGCCCAACCATCTCAGTCGATGAAGATTTACAACCTCATCAACTGATTTTTCATCCTTCCCTAATACCCTGCGTCTAACCTAGTAGTATTTCATGTAAAAAAAGTAAATAGCATAACTCTAAATACCCAGTGGTAATTAGACAGCAACAATTTAGGAATAGTCCAGTTACTATAACTGACTAACTGGAGCTAATATAGTGAGGCATGTCTGTCTACGTATACATTAACCATTCATTAATGTCATTTGTCACAACTGCAAAGAGATTGGTCGTATTAAGTGGATTTATGTCCTATTACTATCGTATCCGCAGAGGCGTAAACGAAGAAGACGAATATTTATTTATTTGAACACTTAAATATTGGTACAAAGCGGCACCGAATACATATGCGCCACAAGTAACTTGGTTTGTATGTGAGCTCTGATATTGCCCGAGTGCCCAAACCAATGCAGGTGGTTTTCTTAGGGGGCCTTCGACCTAAAGGTCTGATCTACAAGGTGGTGGAGAAACCTCAGAAGATGCAGTCCCATAGTAACCGGTGACTAATAATTGGTCCATGCATTATCTGTTCCCACAGGATCCTGGAGCCTATATGCACTATTGGTTTGGAATCAGGGTTTTTCAACTCCTCCAGGTGGATCCTCCATATCCACCAACCGGGTTACAGCGCCGGACATTTGCTTTTCGCCCTCTCGATTTCGTAAACAACAGTAGTGCCGCAAGAAGGTAGTGGATAAATTGGAGAATGACATTATCCACACCACTGCAACCAATTTTGTATTCATCATATGTTACAATTATAATGCGTTTCGAATTTTTGCAAGAAAATTAAATGGATAGTGATGAGTAACCTTCACTAAGAAAAATAGCGCTACCTTAGTAGATTAAATAAAAGTAAATTGTTGATCAGTTAATTCAAAGTTTAAGAAAAATATAGACAGAAAGAACCCTTTTAGTAAAAGTTTTCACTTTTTTATAGAAAGTACGCAAAAATCGTAACAACATCGCAATTGGCTTCGACTCAGACCTACGACCGATAATGTCTCAAGCCACCAAGCTGCACTATCTCTTGGACCACAACCAGTGAATCACGGTAAACAGATAGATGTCATACCCCGGGACAATGTCTTAAACTTACCACCTATCTTTTTTCAACCAGTTCCAGCTTCGGTAAATAAAGCACGATTTAAAAGTCACTGGAATGACACTCATAGCACTTATCCACGTCACCGAACCCGTTGTTTCAAGATGTTGACACCGATTAGACTGTTTTCACTACCCGACCACACGTTCCCGAACTTGAGTTAACATGCACTGTTACATGTATACTATATTGTTAAGGGTTTGTAGTTCCCTGTTGTTAATATTCAGAACTAAAACTGAGCAGTTATTGAAATACGTAAATCGTGAGCAGTTGGCATCAACATAACCTAGTGGTTACAATGTGAACATTAATACTGAGATGGGATGAGTCTTAGGTAGGATAAGACGCATGACCTAGATTCCACAACAATCCAACTATATTAAAAACCATTCACGTATTAATAAAACTATAATTACTCAGTTGGGAGAAGATAGTAGGCAGGTTTAACAAAAAGAACAACTATTTACATGAGAAAATGGAGACTACACCATTGAAGAAAGAACAAACGTAGAATATAATGTAAGTGAATTATGTGACCAAAGGAAATCTCATTTTTAAATGAAAGAATTGTAGGTCATATGAAAACATATTGTCATATACAAGAAGTAGTATTTTACACATGTACTCATAGTGCAGAAAATACAGTCATGTAGTCATTGATTTGTAGAAGCAATTAAGGTTGAATGTATATTTTATTCTTCACCATAATGTCCATGGAGTTAAACGTAAGTGATATACTGGAACCACAGAAACATTAACAGGAAAATCAACTAATGCTTTTGTTAGATTTAAATTATCCAAAGCAGTGGTTATTGAATGCCTTTAAAATTAAAGAGAAAAATCAAATGTAAACCTCCAGTTAACTATTTCCAAAATCACCAAAACCAGTTAATACTTATATATATTCGACTAAAATTTGTTTCCTATTGAGCTTATTACTACGTTATTTATAGATAACAGGATAAGTAAGTTTATGGTTTTTTTATTTTAACACATAGATATTGGTACAAGGAGGCACTAAATACACATGTGCCACACAAATCTCATTCGATATGTGTGAGGGCTGTGATACTGACCGGGTTCCCAAACCGAAGCAGGTGGTTTTCTTAGAAGGCCACACCCCGAGCCTTCGACTTAAAGGTCTGATCCACAAGACAGTGGAGCATCGTAAGGAGATGCAGTTCCATGGAAGCCGGTGACCAACAATTGGTTCATACTCCATTTGTCCCCGTAGGATACTGGAGCCCATGTGCACCATTGGTTTGGAATCCAGTTGAAGTGCCGGACATTCGGTTTTTGTCCTCTCATTTTCGTACACAACACCATTGGTAGGAGAAGGCAGTGAGTAAGACTTCCTTGGCAGAGGCCATATATGCGTGGCCAAGTAAGTATTAATTATCACCAGAATAGTTGAACCTATTGAATGAATGATAATCTGTGACACGTTAACATATATTTACAGTGTGAAACCGATGAAATTCGGCCACTTAAAAGTTGTTAAATTGTGACTGAAATTAACAGAACCAATAGCATTAGGTCATTTGGTATGCAAGTTAACCTATTCTTCTGAAACCTAATCAGAAAGTCTCCGAATGTCAATAGAGTTCGACCAAATAATCAATGACTCCATAGATTGATACTCAACTTTGATTTGATTGTTTTTGACTTTTTTCAACAAACTCCATTTTTAACCAGGATGGTTCACACGGGTAAGCAGTGGGTTGACCTGCAAAACACATATATTGACTAACTACGTTAGTAAACATTCATAGACTCATCAACCACCTATAACTTTTGTCCGACGTCTATTTTCAGCATTAATCTTTATTTCCATCACACACGATAAGTAAAATACCGATAACCTTTAAAAATCGTTCTTTACAATTAAATAGCGAGAGCAAACTGTTGGGGAATATATTCGCTCCTTGATTGGCAAACAGGCAGAGGCCAAAGAAGCTTTGGTACTCGTGTTAAGATATCGTCAGTTACTGGTTCACCACATATGACGACATTTCCTAGATAAAACAGCCAAAATGCACTGATACATCATTTTTAATGATTAAAATGAATCCTATAACAGAATAGTCCTGAAAAGATATTACCTATTTGAAAGTGAAACTGTCACTCTGAGCGTTTATAGGATAACACTTTCATACCATCTATGAGAAGCAGAACTGTCATTAAGATACTCTGATGATGAAAACCTCCAGTTAACTTAATTATGCAAAAGGAAGAAAATATATTGTAGTATTCATTGGGTGAATACAAATTTCTTAGTTAAACGCAATCCAGAATCTTGCACGTGTGTACATTTATTTAAATTCTCATACTACATTACTATGGAGAAATAAGATTATCAGGGCAAATCCCAGATTACTAAAGGTATTAATGGAATTAATATTAATAGAAAAGCTTGAGCATCGAAGATGTGGTCGAAGACGTTATAGATTAAATAACCTAGAAAATCTATGAGGAGTCAGGAAACCTAGGTCCTGAAAAAAGAGAGTGATTGCGTTTGCGCCACTTAGAATGATTTGAAGCTATGTCACCCAAGGTCTCCAACCACCGTTGAGCGCACGCAATACATGTCCCAACGACTTCAAACGGCAAAGTTTCACCGACTCATCGATTTATCTGCCATCTTTACAGAGTATTCTAAGTTTCACTTCAGAATTTGCAATTAGATGGTCCTAAAATAAACAACCGATGATTCGAAGATACATATTATTATTAATGGATTTATTTAATATATATGATCAAATACTCGTAACCGATGGATATGCTGCACTTTCAAACGACATGTTTCACATCCATAAAGTTAGACAGGACTACTGCGCAGTAAATTCGTCGTTTGGTTGTCAGACGGGTATCCCACCTGCGTCACAAGTCACACATTTCGGCAAAAGCCAATCAAACCTTCCGAATCCGCGCCGAAATTTTGTCAGATACCGCCACATTGGGACTGATGAGGCTCTTAAGATAATCGAAAGGATCGGTACATTCAACTACTTGACTCCCTATTACTGATTCAGATGCCAGGGAAAATCAATTCCGAGGCAAGATTTTGCAGTTGGAAGGAGAGGAGAGCATCCAAAACATCCTTGCTTCGTTTTTTGATGTGGTCAGAAGACTGCATTGTGTCAGTGTCTCCACCAAACATAACTATATCATCTGAGTCAATAAGTAAATATCCTGGTAGATCAGCCCCTAAAATGTCAGGCGATGAAGGTGTCATTTCAAAAAGCATGTCGATCACAAGGTTTAACGAAAACGGGGGAAATGTACAACCCAGACAAACACTATTTGAAGTTATAATTTCTGATAACCGTTCGACATATGCTCGGACTCGACCAGAAGTGTTCGAGTGGAACATGTACTATGTTAATGTACTTTTTTGGTACGTCCTATAATGACAGAAACTGCCTTAAAACTTGTCGATTTACAGGACCAAATGTCGCCTGGGGGTCGAGAAATTAAACTATGGTTGGGAGTCGGTAAGTATGCCTGCGATATAAAACCTGGGGTGGTGCGAATGTTTAGTCTACACATCCATAGCTAGATCTGAAACAAGCATGGATTCCTCTCGTTTGATCTTTATGAGTTCTCGTTAAGCACCGGATGATTATTGAGGCAAATATCTTGAATTCATTGTGCAAATTATCTCACGCAGTGACCTCATGCATTTGTCTCTCCACTGATCCAGATCAGCAGTGGATTTTGAGTTACTTAACTGCACCATTCGTTCCCAAAATTCTCATCTATAACATTTTGAAAACAGCTCTGATGTAAGTAACAAGTGGTGGTCTGAACCCTTCCACTGGAGAAAGTTACTGATATCGAGTACGCGAATGATATTGTCTTACTGTCCGATGACGATTGTTCTACTTTCACTCACCAGTTAGTTTATTCAAATAGTTCCTAATCGCTATCCTTAAATTTCAGATGCACAATAACAGGTGCTGTTGCTCGGCATAAATTTCATGAAAGGAAAATGAAATCAGCTATAACATTCGTTAGTTGTTTGCATGAGTGTTTACATAAACTTCACTAGTCTTTAGGGTTGGCGCATGTAACATGAAATCATACTGGATTACTACACAACCGAAGTTTTTAAATGGTTTGATGTTTCAACTACATTTACTTGAATTCTCCCGTTTATATTCGCCTAAGTGACTTTCAAGTAAACTGATTTTCGTACTATATGGGAGGTCTTTTCCTTACAACCATCTGTCGAGCAAGATAAGCGGCTAGCAAAAGGAAATTACTTGTGTCCACCAAAGCAGTTTAAGACTTAAAAAGTATACAAATAACATACCCATCTTTTCCATTCATAAACGCACATGGTATCTGCACACGTCTGGAAGTATCGTCCTGAATCATGCTAAATGTGTGGATAGCCTTGCGGTTAAAATCATAAACAATCACAGCAACTGCACCGGCAACGTGAGCATTAATAGCTTTCGTGACGAAACTACAACCTCTATTTACACTGAAATGATACTGATAATTACCTACCCACGAATTATGAGAGCAATATTTCGATTCACTTCATGTGCATTACTTACCAGCTCACATGCGTGAGGAGGTTCTGTTAGCACTAATGACGTGGACGTAAATGTTGTATTCTTAAATAAGTAGAAGCCAATAAGAAAGATATTTACGTACAAAATGGGGTCCTATTTGACCAGGACTTAAGCGATATGTAAACGGCAGAGTAGATGGATTTATCACCCGAAGATGTAAATAATCATTTTCTCCTAAAACATATCCAATAAAGTTAAAACTATTGAACTTAGTCAAACCATTCGAAATACTTATGAGGATAAAAAACAACTCAAGCAAAAGTAGCATGCATGAATAGAGACTAAATGACCCGCTTCAGCAACCTAAGGCGGTATGAGTATCCCCTAGGTCAATATTTAAGTGTTTGAAAATGTCTTTTGGTTTATTATGTGAGGCATCTACTTTCAGCCTGCGTTTCTCGAAAGACGTTTGTCGACTATTGCCTGTAATTTTCCAAGCATACACGGAAAAATCAAAACAGCAAAGCTTGTCTGTAAATTTCCTTGATAAGAGATAAAGGACATTCAATTGATTATGCTATGTTTTTAGATTGCAAGGTGGGAATTTTCGATAAGTTAAGCCACAATTCCTGTTTTAAATTCTTTGAGTTATGATATAGCGAAACTTCAGTCAGTAACAATTATTGGTTGATGAGATACTTAAAATATATTCTTTCGGTATATTAACAACTAGATTAAATGCCGAAACTCCCTTAAAATGAATCTGTAACTGATTTTACCATTTATTCCAATGATTTACTCTTCAACCTACAGACTCCGGTCATGAATACGTATGAGCGTGTTTTCTGTTCATGTTCTTTTGTGTTTCACCCTTAGGTGGTTCCCTCTTAATTTGAGTTTGTCATCCTGTAGTAAGTAAAGTAGGGTACATTTGGTTTGGAGAGTCTTTTGACTACTGTAACTGCCTGTTCTCATTGTCATATCCGCTTCGCCGAATTCTCACTACTCTAAACAAAGTCAACCATTAGCAGCTTTTCGTTGTTCCGAATTCTTGACCAAGTACACACGAGGTTCAATATATCCCTTATAAACTGAACTCGACTTTTAATATCAAATAAACTAATACTCGTCAATCACATCAACAAGAATTTAGGACCTTAAATCTCTATCATTAGTAAGCAAGACCAAAGGAAGGCTTTGGTAGATTGGTCGTACCGTTTCTTATACATAATGAGGAACAAATAGGGGATGACGCTAAACTATTTAAAAAAATAAACTAATCGATCAATAAGACAAAATGCCTGCATGGAATGAGGAGGTCGATAATATCAGATTCTAATTATAACGTTCTTATCTTGACTGAAGACTTTTATTATATCTTAAATACCTAATTTTGTTGTTACATCAGCCTCTATTTCGAGCTACTTGAAATTTACCTGTGTCTGTTTAATACCAACCATATCTACTCTGTTCTTGGATCTTAAATCTGGCTAACACATATTTTCCTAGTACCATATTATCCCTCGTCTTGGCGGACATGTCTACTCACTGCAAATTATATCAAGTAGCCTGTCGTTAATTTGAGAAGCAAAAGTATTGGTGTCATGAACAGTAATACAAATACGAATATCTGATCAAGTAACGCGAGCAGACTGTAGGGCCAGTACACTGTCACCATGCTCTAGCCAAACCCGTCAGTCGGATCACTGAATGTCTAACAGTTCGCCGATCATCGTCAAGTTCAAGGACAACCAACGCGCACCAACTGATTGTACGCCATAGGCCGGCCCATGCGACGGCAGTCACAATTTATCCCTTGTTCCTACTTTTACCAATACTTTTCTGTGATAATGTCCTTTGTATTATACAGATTCCGTGCAGTCACAGCAACTTGATACAACAGGAAGGTAATCCACGTCAGGTGCTGACTGCGTGATGTGTCTTTGGTGTTAACTATCGGTCATACCAGCCCAATCTAACTTGAGTAGTTCCCAAACCATTCGACACAGATCATCTACATTAATGATCAACAAAACTATTCAGCATCATTTTCCTTATAATTTTAGCATACAAAATCCAACGTTTTATATCCACTTGCTTTCAAACTGTTTGGCTTCGGAGTTATGGGATAGCACTCAGAACACAGTAATTTCTGAACTTATATAATTTCATAACTTTTTCCGTCATATTTCGTTCAAAAATAAATAAATGTAAAAGAAGGCTGTCAGTTATGTGAAAGGTAATAATTTCTTTATTATGGACCTTTTCCCTTAACTCTGAACATCAGTAACTTATATTGCTCTGGTTGCGTGGTCTGTCAACCGTGATTGGTGGGTTTGAGTTGACCAATTTTGTAAAATTATTTCCTGAAGATTTTACTGACACTACTGAACCCGTGATGTGTCTTTAAAATATGACGCAAGCTGTTCTCACTTAGTGATCTCCCAGAACAAAGTTACACACATCTGTACCAACGAAATATAGAAGATAACGGTAAGCCACACAGTCACCTAACATTCCTTGTTGAATTTCGAGAGCTCCAGATAAGTGAAGATGATTATTTTCGGATACATTTTCTCCGACACTATGAAATTACTTAGATTGACCCCTCCACTTCGGAATACAGTTAGTTATGATGGGATATCTAGACTTAACAGGGCAATTTCTTTCTTTTCGAAATCGATATCGAGAATATGAATCCACTAGCCACACTAGTCTCAATCACCATTCATTTCGCAAGTTAAAGACTGCTCTTTTAATTTCTGTCAGTCTTCAGGATTTCAATCCATAATTGAAAACTGTTTAGAATTGTCACAGAAAACTGACCAACAATTGCTGCTGTAGTAACAAATAAACATCCAATCTCGCATCACCTTTCACGTTATCTATGTTTAATAGTAGATTTTATGGAATGTACGGGTCATTATCTTTTTAATCTTCAAACTTATCTAACCCTGAAGAGGCTATGATAATATTCATTTGTTCTAGTGTGATGTGTTAGCTAAGATAGTGGATGGTAGAATACAAACATCTGTTGTGGCATGGGAACCTAGTCACACGAACTTTGAAGCCGAGCATATAATTGCTGAAAAGATTTCTATTCGACAAGTGAAACGAAGAGAAGGTCAATGATGGAGAAGACGGGAATTATTAATTCAATTCAACGGGAAGGCATGACAGCCTTGAAGTCGTGATAATTCCGCATAACTTGTCCTTACTTACATTAAATAAAGTAGTCTATCTTAAGCCTAAATGTGCTCTTTACAAACTTCAGAAATCATGTTGACAAATGTTGCGAAACAGCGAGTCAGTGCATACAATGATGTGACTTCAACATAAGATTTTACAGGTTAGATAGTCACATCGTGACATATTTACAGTTTTAGGATTGAGTCTATAATTATAATTATACTAATAACGAAGGAGACCGTAATTCTACATCACTTCGCTTACAGCCAAAGTGCTTACTGGATTACAGAACTGTTGGACAATGACAGTGGGGTCAGATGTCACGTTTCGTCGATATATGCAAGACTAGACATTTCCGAAGAAGCACAAATGATCGAGTGTATCCCAACCAAATGCTGACCTATATGAACAAAACAATGACAATTTGTGGGAGCAACACACTATTTTGACAATAATTTGCTGGCGCGGAACACTGTATACTCAGATTTGTTACGAAGAAAGATGCGTCATACAGCAAACAGCCATCATAAAACATATTGTCCCAGGCTAGGAATGTCTACTGACTGAGAATCAATCGCCGATTAATGATTCTTTTCGGAGCCGCCCACAAATATGCGAGAATGCTTCCTTGTCGCCTCTCTCACTGTGGTTATGTCAATTTTCTTAGTCATATTTAGGAAATAAATATTTTTTATTTCCAATTTCATGTGTGACTTTTGTGTTTTCGAAGAGAGTGCGACTCGCAGTGGTTAGCGTGACGGATGCTAGAGTGTATACTACAGGTGATTACGGTAAGATTGTAATTGATTGACAACTTTCTAGGGACTCTAAAATGAACTTGAGAATATCTGTAGAACTATGGTCTACTATGATATTAGTACTGCTCTAATAATAGACCTAATCCTAAAATTGTAGATTTGTCATGATATAACTGCCTACTCTATAAGATCTTACGTGGAAGTCACATCATCGGCTACGCCAACTCACTGTATCGTATCAACTACCATTACATGATGTAGAACAAGGTTAGGCTAGAGAAAAAACAATATATTTAATATGAATAGAAGATATAAGGTAACATTCAGATGGACCACGCCTGCATGGCCGAGCCATGCCACTCGATCAACTCCAATTCATTCAGTTATCTGTTCCCGCCTTTTCCATCGTTAGGTATTTCTCAGCGTTAAATATTGAATATCTATTTTCCGAGTAGTGTTGTGTCCAGTTTTGAAGATTGTGTGGTTATGGTCTAATGCCACTACATATCCACCAACTTACTGGCGCTAGATGATGTCCGTAAACAATATAAGGGATAGAGATCTATAGTTGGATGTAAGGTTTCATAGTTAAACTTAGGGTTTTCATTACGAACTGACGCTAACTATAGTGCAGAACTGCTACTTAGCCAGACAGAAAAATGGACTTTGTGTTAAGTTCCATGACCCATATTCTTAAATCAGTTTGTTTCGTACACAAACTATAGACTTATTGAATTCACATTAACTAGTTTCAGAGATAGCATAACCCAAGTTCCGAACCTATTATCATTCACTAATAAAGACTTGAACTGTGTGGTTTGTCTATCAGGATATTTTGGTGATCTACCCACATCGAACGAAACATGGATGTTCTTGCTCATAGTGTATTTTGCAAAATAGTTCTACTAATGAACAAGTAAAACCCTTCGTCAGTTTAGTTTCTGTCGCAATAAATTCATCAATAAATGGAGATATATATAAGACTAAACCATCTTCAGGTTAATATCGGTCTATCACCAATCTGTAACATATGGATTGGTCGCTAAACAGGATTGATTTGCATTATTCCTACTGCTGGGTGATGTAATGTACGATAATTTCTTGTATAGGGGAGAAGGTTTACACTGTTCTTACACTTGCATACATATAATAAGTGAAAATGACAACGTGCGACTAAAACGGGTTTGTAGTGGCATTGGACCATAACCACACAATCTTCAAAACTGGACACAACACTACTCGGAAAATAGATATTCAATATTTAACGCTGAGAAATACCTAACGATGGAAAAGGCGGGAACAGATAACTGAATGAATTGGAGTTGATCGAGTGGCATGGCTCGGCCATGCAGGCGTGGTCCATCTGAATGTTACCTTATATCTTCTATTCATATTAAATATATTGTTTTTTCTCTAGCCTAACCTTGTTCTACATCATGTAATGGTAGTTGATACGATACAGTGAGTTGGCGTAGCCGATGATGTGACTTCCACGTAAGATCTTGTAGAGTAGGCAGTTATATCATGACAAATCTACAAATTTAGGATTAGGTCTATTATTAGAGCAGAACTAATATTATAATAGACCATAGTTCTACAGGTCCATTAATCTTGTTAAATGAAGCCACTGCAACTTATGGATAGACAAGTATTTCTTCCTACATGTTTCCTAGAGCGATTGCCGGTCAAAAAACGTAGGAAAAATAGGAGAGTTGGGTATGAGTATAACAACCCCATCCCATGAAAGAAAACCTTGCTTAAAAAGTCCTGACCAGATGAAATTGCTAAGATCTGTATTTGAATTTGAAGTCTATAATTGCAGAGGAGCAATGGCATGGTATGGTGATAGCTGCGATTCTTCCCGGAGTCATGAGGCCTATGCCCTCTTCTAACAAATGCGACAATTAATATAGCTTCATGGAATGTCAGCCTAGCGTTTGAGGATGGGAGAACCACTAAAGTAACTGCGAAAATTAGAAAACACAACTTGGTGTTGTTCAGAATAAGTGAAACCGTTGAATGCAAGCTGAAAATGAAATGATTAGCCACAGGAGAGGTGCTATTTCACTCTGACCATGGAGCAGAAAATGATTTAATACATACAGGGAGCTGCTCTGATGCTTTACAAAGAAGCAGGAAGAGCATTTATAAGATAGGGATCTCGTGAATTCGGAGCCATCCTTATAAACAAAGAAGGAGCCGGTCAGAATGAATGATATTCAGTGCTAAGCAACCACTAACGACAGCTATGGACGCAATGAAGATCAATCTTTTGAGCAGTTGATAATAGAGAAGTGACCAGTAAAAGATCTGACCATGTTAAGTAAGGAAGTAAACGCCAAAGCTGGAATGGAAAACATTGAGTACGAAGATATCATAGTGCCGCATGGACTGAGAGAAAGGAAAATAAATGCGGAAGCAAAGAATACATAGAACAGCCTGGATGCCGCTAGGTGGTTTGAAGTTTTCAGATTATCTATTTTTTTATATCTCATACACTGCAACAAATTAAGGTGAAGACAACAAGTGCAGCAACAGCCTCTGCAGCTGTTAGGCTCAACATTCACAAGCTAAAGACTGATATTCCGAAGTGCCCAATGAAGAGCGCCTCCAATCACGAAACCTTTCTGTTAGGGCACAGGAGTCCCAGGGGTGACGTTTTAATGGCTTACAGCATCCTTAACACTTCTGGACATTTTAAACTTACTTAAGTTTAGCTCCAACACAAAACTAAGTAGTAACACCCAGAAACTGGAGATACAACACAGCAGAGCGGACTGTAGGCACAACTTCTACTCCTTAAGTGTTAAAGCTGGACATCGCTGCAGCCTGATCTAGTACAAGCGACTTCCCAGGAGACCTTTAATAGGAAACGTGACATATTCTTAAGAAATAAGGATAGTATCTTACTACGATTTACTTATTTCTTTTTCCTCTATTATCGTTAATATATCTAGGTTGATATCTGAGCGTATTGGTGATCCACTGCTACTAGACGCAGAAGCCAGTTAAGCGAAAGCTTCTTCTATTCCGTCCACAACCATTTGAACCGTTTGATGACCAAGTAATATCTTCCATAGATCTTTGAACTCAAAACCGATAGAAGTATCAAAAATAATGTGAGTAAAGAATCACAAAAAGTAAAATATTTAATTTGGGATTGATAACATAACATTGATCCCTGAGCGATTACCTTTATCTGCCTTTATTCGATGAAGCGGTTGCTTTGTACGCTGTGGAAGGATGGCCGACAAAAGGAAACTGCAAAGTGACATTGAAAGAAACCTCAAGAGAGTACAGGAGGGGAGAACTGCCTTCCAGGTATAGTGTAAATTTATGTGGTGGGACTAGTTATTTAGTAAGATATTAGCTATATACAATTTGTAGTTGGTGAAAATGATATGTCTACCGTCTAAAAACTGTGTTTGTATACATATGTACTGTGTATGTTGCAATAGGAACAACGAATATATATTCAAGAGCCATTTAAGTATCAATTATGTACGAAACGTAGATCTAGAGTAACTTATAAATCACTCGAGTGATTATTCCAAACACCACAATGACGCGTTCTTTCATTTATTGTAGTGATAGCTATCATATAGGAACTTGACATCTGTTCATACAAATGTTAGAAAGTCAGAGTTTCCAGTTTGCCGTTTATATATATTCATCGTCTTTGATAGACCTCGTTTTGCTGAAATAAAGTCACTAAAGTTAAACCTTAATACGTTTTTAGCTAGTCTAGATCATTTATTACCTAGCTATTAGTAAGGCATAGTTTACAGTGACGGTGATTGTGTATTGAAAAGTTTCTAGTTTTTTACGTTTATGTTTTAAGAAATATACGCAACACCAATACCTATCCACAAAAGCTCATGAATAACTCAGAAATTTTGAACTTACATTCCATTACATATTTGCCTCATAACTACTGAGTCGCCATTCTGTATATTTTTCACTGAGCTTGAAACAGCCTGACTGTCAAATAGCTCTTATTCTATATATCCAAATGCAAACAGTATTCATTAGTAACGGAGTTCTTTTGTGTTAAAACCAGCATAAATATCCGGTCGAAATTTTATGCTTTTTAGAATGTGTTTCTGTATGACCGCAAGTTTTTCTTAGCTCATTTACTGTTCATTTAATAATTGTGGTAGAAGTTTGGTTTCATTTTGTTACAAGGGATAAGATACACTAAGAGCTTTCAAATATTTAACTGCCAACAGACATCTGAAAAATATTTCACTTAACACGCCAGTTGCAACTTTCTTGTCCCAAACTATTTGTATTTTACATGATTTGTATATAGCGCTGTTTATTCGGAAGATGACCTAGTAGTATACTCAACCCTGCATACAGTATACAGCTTACAAGTTATTGAATATTCACGTGTTCAGATGAAAATTGAGTCATTTCTGATATCCAAACCTTTTAACACTGTATGAAAGCACCACAATAATTGATCTGTTTCTAGCTGGAGTCACGTACTTCAATTGAAATGCATGTAATTTGACTGGTTGGTCATTTATATGTTTCTTAGACCCAATAGGATATTTTCATTAAGTATCAAGTTATTCCACATTTGTTGATTTGGACATTAGCACTTCACATGGTTAGTACGACAAACTAGAGTTGTAAAACTACTATCATTCTGGAAATATCTTTCTACGTTATCATGGACTAGAAAGTTTCATTCGCTCATGCTCTAATAATAGCACATAAGTCAATCTTGTTCTCAGTTGAACCCTCCCCTGACTTTCTAATGCATCTTGTACTCCTATTATTAATCATTCTTTTCTGGTTTAAGGCTTCTTTGAACATACAGCCAGTCATAATAATTTAATCTTAATAAATGAAGCCTTATTTCTTGGATCTAAAACCCAAACTATCTTTTGGGGGCGTTTGCCAAACTGGAAAATAGACTTTACTGGCCATGTGCATGCCGTGTCTCTTAAACACAATTATGAAGGTCAAGTTTGATTATTTTTATAAGTTCAACTAACTTCTGTGGACAATCCACACTGTTCGCTCTTTGCTTATCAATTGGTTTGTCACCAATTTCTTGTAGTCTTGTCGGTATATATACAACGTTGGCTACGCGAATGTCATATAATTGTCAAAAAGTGGGTAATTTTACCCACTGACAGTTATAGCATATTTTCATATATTTCCTTTTTCCTAATAAATCTAGGAAATACTGGATAAATTTGAAAGTACCAACAATCCAACTCAAAAAGAAAAATTTGAAGGCGATCTAAAAAAAGAAATTAAAAAACTTCAAAGATTAAGAGATCAAATCAAAACATGGATTACAGCTAGTGAAGTGAAAGATAAGCGACCATTATTAGAAGCACGTAAGGAAATCGAACAGGATATGGAACGATTTAAAGTAATTGAAAAAGAGACAAAAACTAAAGCTTATTCCAAAGAAGGTCTATTATCAACTGAAGCGAAAAAGGACCCATTACAGAAAGAAAAAGAAGAATTAGATGATTGGTTAAAACAATGTATTAGTTCATTAAATACACAAACAGAAAAATATGAGTTTGAGATTGAAAGCTTATCAAATAATACTAAAAAGAAAAGAATAGATAAAGAAACAGCTTCAGCAATCGATGAAAAACGTCAACGTTTAGAAATGTGTTGTTTTCATGTTGAAAAACTTGAAACCATTATGCGTTTATTAGATAATGAACGATTAGATTGTACAAAGGTTAGATCTATTCAAGAGTCTATTGAATATGTGATCGATTGTAGTGATAATCAGTCTATGTTTGACTTTAAGAATATTTATGATGATTTATGTTTGGATGAGTTAGGTGATTCTACTGGAATAACTGCAGCACCAGGCACTGCAACAGGAAATCAAGAGCATGATTTAAATGGTGTAATTACCCCCGGTACTACACTAGTAAATCAACGAGTAGGGAGTGATGATGCTGGCTCTTCAACTTCGACTCATACAAGTGCATCAAATAATACAGATTCGTCTGTCACTCATCCTGGGTCATCAGCATCATCCAATGCGTCTTCTTCCCGAGAACGTGCTAAAAGTGATGATAAAGTCTCCTTGTTACCACATGTATCCGCTTCTTCTACTAGTACACCAATGAAATCTTCAAATACACCAGGTTCATCGGGCAAACAAAAACCGGCTGCTTCAATTAATCAAACTGCTCCTGCTCTTATGTCCCAAGTTGTTGCTGGCACTCCTAATAAATCTGGAAAGTTGAACGCAAATAGTCATTCAACATCAAACAGTATGACAATCGTTGCCGAGATAGGCCCGGCCAAACCCTCTAGTACTATAGATTCTCAGGTCGTTGTTGACGATCTTGCTCGAAACCAGAAGAACGAAACCACCCAAAAACATAATGACCGTCCCAATACAGTTACAACAAATCCTCAGTTACAATCACAGATAAAAAATGGCCCCAGTGACGATAGCAATTCATTAACACCTTTCTCCTCTGTTTCAGGAACAAATTTAACGTCTACAGCACCTAGTCTTGCATTTTCCGCCTCTCATATAAAGGAAGATTCTTCTGTGATCAACAGTCGTGAAGAATTACTTGCGCCATGTCAACCGTCATGTGTTTCCAACTCAATAAATTCTTCGTCACCTATTCCGCTCCGAAGTATGTCATCTGAAGTTAGCAAAGCTTCAGGTGTTACTAATGCTTACAACAATTCGATGCTTTCCACTTCTACAGACGAAAACTCTGAAAACGTAAGTCGTACTCCTCCCAGTCTATATTCAACGGCTATGCTAGCTGCTTCTCAGGATAAACAATTGTCATCCCTACTCGCTTGCTCTCAACATCCATCTTTAGGACGTGCAGGTTCGAATTCTGTTGTGGATCCGTCACTTTCTGCAATTTCCTTGTCCAGTAAATTTCACTCAACATCTGGTGTTTCATCTTTACCACTTCCTTCAACTATCATATCTACAACCAATCCTCAAGTACAGTCCTCTTATTTGGGACTAGACAGCCAACTATCCAGTATACAACCGTCTTTACATTCTCAACAAATAAAAAATCAGAATAGTCCTGTTCATGCTCATATGCATCCACGTGATGCTGCTGCTCCCTTCCGTAACAGAAATTTGGACAAACCCAAAGGAGCTGTACCACAAGAGGTAAGTTCATTTTTGTCTTCTCCGTTCCGATCCATTTCTCATATGTCCTGGTCTTTCTATGGATTTTTGTTTACATCATTGCATTGATTTAGTCTTAACCGACCTAACGTGATTGCGCAATGATTCGAGCTGTCACAATAATATTTCATTAAGATGAAAAAAGCCCAGCCAGTACAAACGGTTAATTTCATTAGAAAATACAATGCTTCTACCATCCACTATAATCAATCCATAGATTTTATCGCAAGAATACCATCTTGTGGTGCCACACAAGCCGATAAGTGTTTTAAAATGGTAAACAAAAGTTCACTCATTCCTTTATTTTCTAGCAATTATATACTACTAGAGGGAGAAGGAACACTTCAGATTTCTTTCCCTAAATGCCCTGGACGGCTAAGGGTTTATTTTTTATTTGGACACATAAATATTGGTACAAAGGGGTACTGAATACATATGCGCCACACAAGTCACTTGATTTGGGTGTGGAGAGTCAGCACTCTCTCTCTCGAAATCCTCTCACACGGACACGAATGTATCTGCTGCCAGAGAAGTTCTACTCATTGCCTACTCCTCGCGGTTTGTTGTTTACGAAATTGAGAAAACGAAAAGCGAATGCCCGGCGCTTTAAGCGGGTTGATAAACATGAAGAGTCTATCTAGGGGAGTTGGAAAACCCTGATATTAATGTTTCGTATGTTTTGAGTTGACGTGGTTTTGCAAAAAAGAATTCGATATTTCATTTTAAATTCTCAGGTTGTGGTTGACCAAAAAACACTACTCTAATTTGTTTGGTTTCAGTTCACACTCGTGAGAATCATTATTATAATGCTAAAGACGATTTGTTATCAATAGTCTATTCAATCCTGTAAACCATAGTTCTGGTTTTAGTTATCCATTAAAAATTCCTCTCATAGTATTGATGAAAGGTATTGTAGTGGAACTCCAGGGTAAACATTCGTTTTCTATATGTCACAGTCATGGACCACTGATATGTAAGTATCCTAATATTATCGACATCTTACTATCAAATCATCCGAAAGTTAGTTATCATGAAATACCTATCAACATTACATTAGACTGTTAAACAAATTGTTATATTTGTAATATTTCTTGAAACACTACAGATTCATTCTATGGTGAAAAAACCACAGTTTATGAAATCATTATACGAGTAGTCTTTTGCCAGAATCCTAGTGTTTGTTTTGGTAAACTTTTTGGCAAACAAAGCCTTGATATGCACGTATATTTAATCGTATTCTTTAATCTTAAGTTGGTTTTTGCTACAAATTTTCAGTAGGATAAGAACCGGAGGTCGCTAAGTAACTGTTTTATCCCAGTTTGAAACTTATCACTAATAGATCCTTCCACTCATAAGAGCTCGAATTCAAGAGATTCAGTTATCCGTATGTCCGCATTACCATTTAGACCAATGAGTCGTAATTGATTTCTACATATTTACCAACTTTAGTCACTCGATTATACTATATGGAGCTGGGTTCAAACCCTATATTTGAAAGTCGAACACCTTAATCATTGATTCGCCGCTCCATCATCTAGTACTATCAGACAAGGCCATGGGTAAGCGCTGTTGATGAGCCTTTCACTAGGACGAACTATCTATCTATCTATCAATCCCTAACTTCTAATGATTTCGAGCTATTTTTCAAACGACTTTTAAATTGAACGAATTTCGACAAACTTATTATATAATAGAAAAATATGTTGTTTTAATCTTTTAAACATACATTGGAACTCTACTAATAATTCTCTAACCTTATTGATTTTAATCGAGGTGTCGGTAGTTCGATTTTCCAAAATATAAATAATATTTTCTGTCTAAATATTTGCCTACATTTGAATTAACCATAGTAAATTAGGGTTTATTGATAGAGATGATGAAATATATTTTTCTAGCGTACTTGGAAATTATCAAGTTAACAATAGCATTTAAATTGTTAATGACAAATATAAAGCGTACTATATGATATATGATAATAAGGATCTTATGAATAGGTTTCTCATTTTGTGTTTTTGTTATAACTTGTGGCTTGTGTGCCCTGTTAATGTATAACGTAACGATACCGCCAATTAGAGAGCAGTGACTTACCGATCGGATCAATGACGCGTAAACCCGTATGAACAGTCTAGAGTCCTTATTGATCCTGCTTTCCGCCTAGCCCAGCCAGTTAAGTACAGAACACCAATCTCAGCCTCTGAGATATGAATCATTTATTTCAAACATACTGGGTTTATATACCATTCAGACAGACCAAATCGTACCAATAAAATAGGACACAACATTTGCACAAGATTTGGCCAAATGGTCCCGACCGTTGTTGCTACCTTGACGTGGTGGTCGGGCTTGCCTATCGTGATGAAGCAACCGAGCTATACTGGCTGGAACAACCGTTCCTCAAGGTTTTACCATGACAGATAGGTCGGTTGAAGAGTGGTAAGACTAAAAGCAACAAACCCAATGTCCGAAGGCGAAGGCCTTCAGCTACTCTACAACTACCCTCCATTCCCAGGCAATGTGAATGGAACATTGAAGTAGGTCCCCCGAGTCTAGCCGAAGTCCAAAAGGCTATAGTTAATCTGAAACGAGGAAGGGCAGCTGGTCCAGATGGATTGGCTCCAGAGGTCTTTAAGGATGGTAGTCCAATTTTGGCGATTAGGTTGACTAATATTTTAGCTAAAATCTGGGAGTTAGACGTTATGCCATTTAACTGGTCACAATCACTTATCGTCCCAATATATAAGAGAGGGTCAAAATCATCCTGTGACAGCCATAGAGGGATTAGTTTAACTAATATAATATCTGAAATACTAGCCTCGATAATTATCAGACGCCTAACTAAGACTCGTGAACTGCAAACACGAGAGAATCAAGCTGGCTTCAGACCTGGTCTTGGCTGCATCGACCACATACTCACCATTCGTCAGGTTCTAGAACACAGGCATACTTATCGGAGTCCGACAATGGTGGTCTTTCTTGACTTAAAAGCAGCATTTGACTCGGTAGACCGCGAGATTCTGTGGCGGTGTCTGTCATTGAAAGGCGTACCTCAGAAGTACATAAACCTTGTGAAGGCTCTTTACTCGAACACTACTAGTCGAGTCAGAGCTTATGGCGAACTGTCATCTGCTTTTGCAACCTCAAGTAGTGTCCGTCAAGGATGTCCACTTTCTCCATTTTTGTTTAACTTTATTATAGACCTATTGATGGAAATAACATTCTCGTCGACTGAATTCTCGGGTATTGATCTCCTTCCAGGAGGTCCACTTATCGACTTAGAATACGCAGATGATATAGTCCTGTTTGGTGAAGACGCTGACAAAATGCAGAGTCTTCTGTTAGCACTAAGCAACAATGCCAGGATGTTTGGAATGCGCTTCTCTCCCTCTAAATGCAAGTTGTTGCTTCAGGACTGGTCTGCGTCAACACCTGAACTAAGGATAAGGAGTGAAGTAGTCGAACGCGTTGACAACTTCACTTATCTTGGAAGTCTGATCAGCCCTAATGGGTTGGTGTCTGACGAAATCTCAGCACGGATTCGAAAAGCTCGTTTGGCTTTTGCCAACTTACGTCACCTATGGCGAAGGCGAGATATCCGTCTATCAATAAAAGGACGAGTATACTGCGCGGCAGTCCGTTCTGTCTTACTTTACGGCAGCGAAACATGGCCTTTAAGAGTAGAAGACATCCGTAAGCCATTAGTATTTGACCACAGATGCCTTAGAAATATTGCTGGCGTCTGTTGGGTTCACCGGATAAATAATAGTGAGGCTAGACGCAGGGTATCAGGGAAGGATGGCAAATCAGTTGGTGAGGTTGTTAATCTTCATCGACTGAAATGGTTGGGCCACGTGTTACGTATGCCTGAACACCGATTACCACGACGTGCAATGCTAACCGGGGTAGGGGATGGTTGGAAGAACGTCAGGGGCGGCCAAACCAAAACGTGGCATCAGTGCTTGAAGTCACTAACTTCTAGTCTTAGCCATGTTGGTAGATGCAGACTACTTTGTTGGGGCCCGCGTGACTATCGTAACCAATGGTTGTAAACTGTAAGTGACATGGCTCAAAATCGATCACAGTGGTATAGGTGTATACACTGTCTATCTTCTCTTAAACTAAGAGATTAAAATCGCTTCATATCTTTCTTTCTACGTAGTAATTCTTTCTTCCTGTACTGTATTCTTATATGCAATCTTTCTTTTATATATTACCACCACTGAATTAACTACTATGAATTCGCTGTTCATCTTGGTGTACTAATGAGTGAAGTATGACAACTTGGACCGATGCATATATGTGCTTGTTCCTACGTTGTAGCTGACTGACTGACTGAATCCATATACCCTATGAATAAATAAGAATATCATAACCATTATATTTAATACGCCTAAAACGGATGTATTTTTCCTTTTTGCTATTTCTATTAACTATTTTGATATATACATTATAGAAATACAATATATTGATTAAAAAATCCGATTATAATCTACCCCTGGTTTTACTTTGTTTAACGGAAATCAATAAATTTGATCTATTCTCTGTATGTTTTTCTAACCGTCTTTGTTGTTGTTGTTGTTATAGATCAATATAATCTAATTGTCATTTTTCTTTTTAAGCTTAATAAAAATTACAAACAATTATGTCTTATTTTATAATCTATTCATATGATATTAGAGATTTATTATTATTATTATTTTTAGTTACAGTTACACTACTTAGATTATAGATTTGATGTTTTATTTATTACCACCTATCAATTAAGATCTGATTGTGTTACTAGGGTTTCACTTATTATTATTATTATTATTATTATTATTATTATTATTATTATTATTATTATTATTATTATTATTATTATTATTATTATTATTATTATTATTATTATTATTATTATTATTATTATTATTATTATTATTATTATTATTATTATTATTATTATTATTATTATTATTATTATTATTATTATTATTATTATTATTATTATTATTATTATTATTATTATTATTATTATTATTATTATTATTATTATTATTATTATTATTATTATTATTATTATTATTATTATTATTATTATTATTATTATTATTATTATTATTATTATTATTATTATTATTATTATTATTATTATTATTATTATTATTATTATTATTATTATTATTATTATTATTATTATTATTATTATTATTATTATTATTATTATTATTATTATTATTATTATTATTATTATTATTATTATTATTATTATTATTATTATTATTATTATTATTATTATTATTATTATTATTATTATTATTATTATTATTATTATTATTATTATTATTATTATTATTATTATTATTATTATTATTATTATTATTATTATTATTATTATTATTATTATTATTATTATTATTATTATTATTATTATTATTATTATTATTATTATTATTATTATTATTATTATTATTATTATTATTATTATTATTATTATTATTATTATTATTATTATTATTATTATTATTATTATTATTATTATTATTATTATTATTATTATTATTATTATTATTATTATTATTATTATTATTATTATTATTATTATTATTATTATTATTATTATTATTATTATTATTATTATTATTATTATTATTATTATTATTATTATTATTATTATTATCTCTAACATCTTTTTATTTCATATGGTTTTTAATTGTAAAAATTATGGAGCAGTGGCTGAATGGTTAAATGGTGACCCACCAAGTGCCCCGGTACGGCCGAGGGTGGGGAGAGTCAGCTCTCCCTCTTGAAATGCTCTCACATGGTTACGTGTATACAGTCATTATCGAAAAAGTGCTACTCACTGCCTTCTTGAAGTAGGGGGTGTTATTTACGAATTTGAGAGAACGAAAAGTGAATGTCCGGTACTTTAACCGGGTTGGTGGATATGGAGGATCCACCTAGAGGAAGTTGGAAAACCTTTATTTTGTTGGGGTATTGTTCTCTGATCTGGATGGTTTGATCGTGGAGCTTCTACCTGAAGTTTGTGCTGTTGATATCGTTCAGAAGAACGATCACTCACCTGAGCTACAAAACCCTGATTGCAAACCAATGATGCACTCGGGCTCTAGGATCCTGAAGGAACAAATGGCGTGTAAACCAATTATTAGTCACTGACTACTATGAGACTGCATGTCCTAAAGTTCCTCCACTGCCTTGTAGATTAGACCTTTAGATTGAAGGCTCGGAGTGTGGCCACCTAAGAAAACCACCTGCTTCTGTTTGGGCACCCTGGCAGTATCACAGCCCACACACAAGTCAAGTGACTTGTATGTATTCGGTGCCCCTTTGTACCAATATTTATGTGTTTAAATAATAAAAGAATGATTAAAATGTTCGTTCTCAACCGATAGGTCTCAGATTAGAACCTTGTTCGACTCAGTTTAGTAGTATCATTGAGTCTTGCATAGAAAGAATATGGTTCGAAGTCGGAATGCATATAAACTTGTGTTTTGTAAATGACTTAATATATTTATTTATTTACTTGAACACATAAATATTGGTACAAGGGGGCACCAGATATATGTGCGCCACACTGGTGCGTGTAATTTCAGAAAAGCTCTTTAAGTATTCGTATTTGAGGGTAGCATTCAATTTTCAACCAGTCTGTGACTCAAGAACGTTTAGATAGAACCGAGTTTCCACCATAGGCAAGCTGCTGTATAAGTCGAAAAATAAGGATACACAAAGTGGTAATAAAAGGGTAAATAAGTGACGTAGTAATTAATAATAGTAATAATAATAATAATAGTGTGAATTGTTTGACTGTTAATCGAAGCGAGAATAGTATTTTCAGTAAATGTCGTCATTTCATTCTATTTGTGTGTGGGTTGTGATACTGCCCAGGTGCCCAAACCGAAGCAGGTGGTTTTCTTAGGGGGCCACACCCCGAGCCTTTGATCTAAAGGTCTGACCCACAAGGCAGTGGAGCATCGTGAGGAAATGCAGTCCCATGGTAGCCGGTGGCCAACAATTGGTTCCTTCAGGATACCGGAGCTCATGTGCACCATTAGTTTGGAATGAGGATTTTCTAACTCCCCTATGTGGTTTCTCGGTGCTCACCAACCCAGTTAAAGCTCAGGAAATTCGCTTTTCGTTCTCTCAATTTGGTAAACAACACCCTCGCCACGAGAATGCAGTGAGTAGGACTTCCTTGGCACAGGCTATTTACGCGTGGCCATGTGAGAGCATATCGAGAGGGAAAGCGGTCCCTCTCCACTCTCGGCCATACTAGGGCATTCGGGTGCCATCTATTTGATATGTGGATAAAATGTAATCAGAATTTGTTCTATTTTATGAAATTGAATGATCTTGGTAATTGAATAAATCTATATTAATTATCAATTTTATTGGTCATAATGAATATTAACCGATTAAATAGATAAAAGCAGGAAGAAAGAAGGAAAAAAAGAGATTGTTATAATCTCTTTAGTTAAGAGTTGAATTCTCAGGTCAATTCACTATCAGTCAATTTAGTGTATAAATATCATAAACAAAGTTTTAAGTTATTTTATTATTCATAAGATTTGATTGGTATATCTCTAGAATATTTGGATAGTTGTAAGCTTTAAAACCTATTATTCTTATATGATTTCGTGGCATATATCTTAAAGACCCTGAATGACCTGGTATGGAAGACGGTAGGGAAAGTCAGCTCTTTCTCTCGAAATGCTCTCATATCGCCACGTGCATAGAACTACTGCTAGGGAAGTACTACTGATTGTCTTACGCACAAATCAAGTGACTTGTGTATCGCATATGAATTTGGTGCCCCTTTGTACCAATATTTATGTGTTCAAATAGATATATATCTTGAAGCTCCACGAGATTCTTACGAAGATTTAAGTTCTTTTTATTCAATGCTACCATAAGATATTACTACTTTCGTTTTTTCATTAATTATCTAACTCATTTGCCTTAGATAAATGCGTGTATTTAGCTTCAAGCCACTCTCCAAATCTAAGAATTGATGATATTACCTGGTAGTCCAAATCCTTCGGAGACAACGATGATCAAACACAGAGAGTCGTGTAACATCATCAACTCGGAGAGGCCAGGTTTCATAAGCATAGAGCAAAACTGCTCTCACCGACGCGTTGTAGATCCGACCTTTTACAACCAGACTGACATCACGAAGGCACCAAAGATGGCCCAGACTGTCATAAGCCGCTCTGCCTTTCATTATACGTGAATCGATCTCACCACTCAACAACTACATAAAGATAATTTGAATGACAAGTTTATCAGTTGTTTGTTCATAATAATGTAAAAGTGTTTAGTATACCATATCTCTGACTTGAATTCTTACGTTTCGATCCCAATTTATCCCCAGTGACCAGTTGACTTGATTCCTCCTATTTCTCTATACCCCTCCCCCAAATAGTTAATGAAATTTTTTTCCACTGTTTTTCTTTGTTCTAGGGAGTGTTTTGTAAGAATATGTCATCTATGTCTAATATTGTAATGATATATATTTCAACACTTGAACCTTATTGTGTTGTACACGTTTTTGATTTATTTAAAGTGTTACTTAAATTGTCTATTTATAAGTTTCAATAGTTGAAATCATGAGTCAATTGAAGCTAGACCACCATGGAAAACTAGGAAGCACTGGACGGCCGTTTCGTCCTAGTATGGGACTCCTCAGCATTGGTGATCTGGCTTCAATTGACTCATGATTTCAACTACTGAGATTTTTAAAATCTCCGAAAAAACCCTTCTGATATTTATAAGTTGTTAAACATTACTTCAAATTGTCTATACCTCCATTCAATAGCTCCTAGTTTTTATCCATATCACCGTCACTTTTCTTTATGTAACAGTGAATATCATTAGGAAAAAGGAGCTAAATTGTAGTATAATTGCAGTAAACAAGAACACGACTGGGGATAATTGAATATATTTGACAAGAAATTACAGAACATCTCATTAACATTTGAGAACCATATAGTGTAAATAGTTAATTTGCAAAATATCTATCCATCGTCTCAATCTAGACTGTTCCTTTTGTAAATATTAATCCATTGTCTCAGATTTCATTGTTTATGCATTTTCATACCAATCGCGTTCCGTTCCTATTCTTTTCTTACCGATTCTCTACTGAAATACATTCTATGCCTGACCATCGTTATATACTACTTATGTGGATATAAGTAACCCACAACACACTACTGCATTATATTGATCTCTTGTGCTATTTCCATATTATCGTGCTAGTTTGGTATGGCCAGTTGAACAAACACCCATATCAGACTATGTATGCCGATGATGCCTTTCTTGATAAAATCAGTATAATTTGATATGGAAATATAGTACAAAAGTGAATGGATCCAAGATTCTCAACTGAAATACATTCTATGCCTGATCACCTTTATATACTACTTATATGGATATAAGTAACCCACGCACTTGACAATCACCATAACAACTCATATACTTAGTGATAATAAATCCCAAGTTGATTATATTACCACGTTTTTATGTTTCGATTGTTTTTTCTAGTGTTTTTTCTAAATGTTGAAAACTTTATAGTCTAATACTTTCCATTTTGTTTTTTTTTCTTACTACAAACAATCAAACCAAATCAATCAAACGAATCAAACAAACAATCAAACCAAACCAAACAAACATTCAATCAAACGAACCAATCAAACAATCAATCAAACTGAAACAAACCAAACAACCATCATTCAAACGAAACGAACAAACCTAACAAACAATCAAACGAACCAAACAAACAATCAATGAATCAAACTGAAACCAACCAAATCAAACAAACACATATAGCTTCTTTTACAACTTCAAGCATTAGAAAGTGGTTATCGTCGTTTACCACATTCATGTGATACAGAGAAATCTCGTATGATTATATGTAAAAATCCAATTAATTGTCCAAATTATTATCCACGTGAACCATTAACTGGTACTGATAATGAAGAATATTATATGAAATTAGATGCACAAACATTATTTTTTATATTTTATTATTTTGAAGGTACTAAAGCACAATATTTTGCTGCTAAAGCATTAAAACGTATGTCATGGAGATTTCATACAAAATTTATGATGTGGTTTCAACGACATGAAGAACCTAAACAAATTACTGATGAATATGAATCTGGTTCATATATTTATTATGATTATAGAACAATGCGACAACGTAAAAAAGAAGAATTTATGTTTCATTATAGTTTTTTAGAAGATAAAGATTTTTAAACTAAACAACTTCTTGTTATTGTTACTGTTGTTGTGATTTATCACATATCTCTAACCCTTGAACAACATGAGTAACTGTACAATTGACTTGTGTATTGTATAAAAAAAGGAGAGAGAGAGAGGGGGGGGGAAGAATAGGTGCTTTCACATTTGTTTGTTTCTTTGTTTGCATTTGTTTGCTATTTCATTGTGTAATTCTCTTGTTTTCTTTTCTTTCCTTTTATTTTTCCCTCCCCTCCTCTCTCCCCCTCCCTTCTCTATTTTCCTTCAGTTATTACATAAATGCAGCTATTTACAATCTTTTGAACTGTTGATTCATTCTTCTCTCTTTTGTTGTTGTTGTTGTTATTGTGTGTATAACATTATTATTATTAATATTGATAATTATCAGTGATATTATTAGTACCAATATATATATATATATATATATAATATTATTTATCAGTGTTTCGTCGCTCAAAATTCTTTCTTCATCAAGTGTAAATCAATCAAATTCATAGAAATAATTAGTCAATCACAAATCTTTATTATTTCCCAATTTGTATGTGGGTGTCTCTTTTTTTCTAATCTTTTGTCTTTATCAATGAATTGTGTAGAAATTGTTTTCTTTTTTGTTGTTGTTGGATTAGTGTAATTTCTCCGCTTCGTTTATATGTATGTATATTGTAATGTATATGTAAATGTGCATAGAAACAACTGAACTGCATTTAAAACACATACTCGATATATATATATATATATATATATATATATATATTTCACTCCAAATCAATAAAGTTCTCTTTTTTTTGATTTTCTTTCTCTAAAGAAAGAAGAAAAAGAAACAATCGATAAATGCAAATAAATATTACATAGAAATACTAGTTCTATCTTTTATTGTTGTTGTTATTATTATTTCTTATATATATATATATATATATATAACTTTGCCATTTAATAGATTATTCAGTATGTTTTGATAAGTTTCAATTCACTTAGCATTATTATATTTGGATGTATTCATTGATATCTTTAGGACTGGAATTGATCAATCTCTTATAAGTGATTGTCATTTCATTCTGTTTGTGTGTGAGCTGTGTTACTGCCCGGGTGCCCAGACTGAAGCAGGTGATTTTCTTAAGGGGTCACACTCCGAGCGTTTGTTCTAAGGGTCTAACCGACAAGGCAGTGGAGCATTGTGAGGAGATGTATTCCCATGGCAGCCGGTGACCAACAATTGGTTCCTTCAGGATATTGGAGTCTACGTGCACCATTGATTTGGGATCCGGTTGAATCGCCGAACATTCGCTTTTCGTCCTATCAATCTCGTAAACAACACCCCTGGTAGGAGAAGGGAGTGAGTAGGACTTCCTTAGCGGAGGCTGTATACGCGTAGCCATATGAGAGCATTTCGAAAGAGAGGGCGGGCTCACTTCACTCTTGGCCATACCAGGGCATTTGCGAGCATATGTGGATCCTGTGCAGATTGCCTCGATATAGCCTTAAATCACAAGTATTATAAGGAAAGATGAATGGTGGCTAAAAGTGGAATCCAGGATGCACGTTTTGTCTTATCTTGGGACTCGTCGGCTACATGTTCTTGCATCTCAGAGTTGTTGTTCACTTTGGAACTCGGACCCTGTACCGTTCGGTTCAAACGCTATCGCGTTATACACTTAACTACTGATTTCTGATGGCTACTTGCTTGTGCAATGGGGTGAAGTTTCTCGTTCGCGGATTAAGTGAACTCGTGATAGCTTCAACCTTAGCATATTACAATATAGTGATGAATCAATCAGAATCGAGTAAGTGGATTATCACGCTAATCATAGATGTGACTGAATTGTATGGAGTTCCAATTGTTTAAAATTCTTTTTTTTGTTGTCGTTACCATAAAGTAAAAGTGATAACTTGATAACGTACGTCAACTGGTTACTTTATGGAATACAGTTTGTACAATAAATGATTGTTTCAATTTACTTTCTTATTGGTAATACCTGAGTTGTTAAAATAGATGATGTTTTCACTCATGACTTCTCTCCTAACTTTTAAATAAGTTAGTATGAAGTATATTATACTTGGATTTTCCCATTGATATCTTTAGAACTGGAATCGATCAGTCTCTTATAAGCATATGTGGATCCTGTGCAGATTGCCTCGATATAGCCTTAATTCACAAGTATTATAAGGAAAAATAGATAGTGACTAGTTGTGGGGTTCTGGTTCGAGTTCGGTATTAACATGAACTCTGAGATGCAGGTGCATCATGCTGACAAGTCCCAAATACGACAAAACATGTATCCTGGATTCCACTGCTAGCTACTATTCATCTTTGCTTAAAAATCATTGAAATCTTGTTTAGTGGTTTTTGAGCAGTTGACTCTGGATTCATACGTCCAAAGTTTATACCTTATTTTACTTTATTGAAAAGTTGCGTCGTATCACTGCAATCCTTATAAAAAGTGTAGCTGAAAGCCGAACACATAAACATTGTCTTGATAAATGAGTTAGCTTTCTGGTCAAAACCATGCTAAAACTATTTATTGTAATTAAATAAAACTAGTTATTCTTTGTGATTGAGAATGCTAGTTGTATAATAAGGGATTCCAGAAGGACGATTCTTTCTACTAATTAAAAGAAAAGCGTAAAAGTCAGCGATTTATCCTGTTCTTTTATGATACATTTATTCAACGTGATTGTTTGTCACACGAACATCATGTAGACATACTGTGGATACAATTGATTGTTAGTTATTAGGATTGTAGTAGTCAGGTGTTGTCGTTACGTGTTTAGATATCACGGTGTTGGTTAATTACGATAGTAGAATTCAATGAATTCTTAGATGTCGACAGTTATAAGAATCTAGATTATGAAATGTAAGCCATGTTAATGGAGTCTGAGTGATTGATTATTAAACATCTGTAAAATATTAAATGAAAGTACTTTGTGATTCCACGTATTCTTTGTTTAAGTGTAATTGCTTAACATGCATAAACTGAAATGTTAGCTTGTTGCGATTTCAGTGTACTGATAAGCAAACTTCCTACTGTGCGATATGTTCTGTGGGCAACTTGAGTGACAGGAAAAGTATATTGTAAACATCTTTTACTTTCTTAAAGTGCGAAATGCCACTTCAAAATTGTCATGTGTTAATAATTAGTCTATTCATACGAAGTGGAGTAATCGAGAAGTTCATTCATCCAGGCTGTTTTGATGATTTCTAAACATGGATGATTAAACATGTCATCTCAAGTACAAAAAATCTGTTTAGCTTCTGCAAACGTATATCACGTTTGCAGTAACTAAATATCTGTTTGTTTATCAAATGCCAATTATCCTGATCAACATTCTTCGAAGTATTGACCGTCTACGATGGAATCTCACCTGTTGAGAAAGCAAGCAATGTCAGAAATGCATCCATTCCTTTTTTTTTTCCACAGAAATCTTAAATTTAAAATTGTTTCTTTTATATTTTTCATTCACATAACCTTCGAACTACATTCCCCTAGTTTGGTTTTTCACTATCAATGGTATTATTTCTTCATTATACCTTGTTATTTTGAACACTGCCCATGTAAAATGTGACAACCTGGATTTATATACACTGAATAGAGTCATACGTTATTGACCAGTGATGATTTAATTCTATGAAAGTTACTAAAGTCACATCTATTCAGTTAACTATCAATGTTCATAATTTCAATCTATGCTTGACTATGTGCGTTTGTAGCATTGTAGTGTGGCGTCGAGTCGCGATCGACTATGATCACCACTACAAGAAGGTTGCGTACCAGTTATCAGAAGGCGATTGAAGGTTGTATCGAGATATATTTGTTGGCAATCTCGTGGTATTGAAAGAATACCGAGATCGTACCAAAGGACTACAAGCGGAATCACTGAGCAGACGTAAGTGCGTGCAAGGTCACAATCAACGGAAGAAGGTATGTCTTTAGTACAGTTAAACAAACAAATACAGTAAGACAATCAATGGTACAATTGGTCATAATAACAATTGTTTCCATTAAACGAATCGTGTTCTCTCGGTAAAAGTAGGTCACTACAGCATACTTCATCATCCAATTCGTTGATCACTTCACAATTCGTCAATTTCTAGATCCATTGTTTTACGTAGATTCGGACTTCAGTTGTATTATTACATCAAATTAGTATATATATATTCTTCTTAAACCCTTACAAACGTGTTATTTTATAAGATGGGTAGGTCTATCAGTTGTATTTATAGTGACTTTATTTGATGAGCTTTCTAAATTAGGTAATTTAACTTGGAATTGTCTATTCGACGTTGAAGTTGTCATTCACACGTAACTATTTGTTTGTTTTGATGATCTTTAAAAGCTTTCTTAACATGCGATACCCATGTATTGTTAATTGAACATTAGATTCGGTTGCTAAGCTCTTTTATTAACCCTCAGGTCAAGTCTACACAGAGACTTGAATACGACAGAAAATATGCGAAACGCTTTGATCCACAGGTTTGTTTATGTACAAAAATTCTACGATATTTATAGCATTTTAGATAGTCTTGTGCTGCCAGAAAATTACGGAACGCTATTAATCACACTAGCTGTATAAGTAATCATCCAATCAGAAACTCAACATGTGACATTTCACTTTCTAGATGTTTCTGGCAAAACTTCTACTGAATGCTGATGAGATAAGATGCTTCTCAGTGTTTGCAGAGCCCTTCTTTTCAAGGAGATTTTCTGGATCTCCCTAACATAATCTGGCGAGACTATAACTTATGGACGGACCAATCAGGCGTAAGATAACAGGTCTCGGATTTTAGCGCGAAATTCACTCATCTATTTGCCTAAACAGATTTATGGCATTATAGCGGATGTCAGTTCGTGATGAAAACCCCAAATGTAGTTCCTACCTCTAACCACCAACTGTAAATCATAATTTTAATTCCTTACACAGGTTCATAACGCTCATTTGGCCCTGGTTGTTAAGTGGACACTCTCAAGGTCAGTATAGCGTCGCTCAAAGGTCCTCCATGA